AGTAAATGGCTTGTGCACATAGGTGATCACCTATTTGGAATGCATTATACAATTAGGAAAATAAAAGTAATTTTCTTGTCTAGCATCCTGCTGAGGAAGCCTTTTTCATGAGAAGTAATGCTCCCATTACAGACCAGCTGGAGCCTATGTAAAAATAGCAAAGGCCTCCCAGAATTATGCCTTTTGTGTGTATTTTCCTCGAGTTTGGGATGGGATCTCGGGGATGGTGGGGGGTGTGTGCTGAGGTGGAAACTGCTGTGTAGAGGAGGGGCACAGCCAGCATTTACACTGAACTCAGTGCACGAGAGAAAAGCAGGGATAGGGATGGTGGGGGTGTGTGCTGAGGTGGGGAGGAAACTGCTGTGTAGAGGAGGGGCACAGCCAGCATTTACACTGAACTCAGTGCACGAGAGAAAAGCAGGGATTCCAACAATGCTGTCTTCAGCTAAATCAAAAAGATTGACTCCCCCCCACCCCCCGTATGATGTTGCTGCTCAAGGACAGCAGCCAATATGTGTGGAGTGTGTGACACTGCCATGTGTGGGCAGAAAGAGTGCAGGCTTTAAAGATGGAGCACAGAGGTGGCAGAAGAGAGGAATAGCAAGCATCGAAAGATTAAGATCTTCTGCAGACTGCTGCAGTCTCAATATCAAATGATGTTTTTATATATGATTCTTTTTTTCATTTATGAAAATCTATTTTAGTACTGAGACTGCTGCAGTCTGTGACAGGTCTAAATCTTTCCATAGTTGATTTAGATTTTTTATTTCCTATGTTATATTGTAGAAATGAGTCTGTGTGTATATATATATGTGTATGGCTTTTTAATCTTGTCACATAAATATGTAGGATACTGATCTCCTGTTTGGCAGGGATTGCAGCCTTCCAAGCTTGTAGTTCCCCTGTCTGGAGTGTGCAGATTAAAAATACTGTCCCATTCTCCTTCCAGCCCAAGTTGGTGTGCAGGATCCCTCGGAGAGGTCTCTGGAGAGTCCAGGAGGGGGATTATGATTATCAGTGTGCAGCAGTGCTGCTGAGCACGGTGATGCTGCAGCTGGCAGGCACAGAGGTTTCTCACAAGCAGCAATACTGCAGACTCTGGTCTGCTTTTGGAAGGATGATAATTATCATATAACTGGCTTTTATTTTTTTTACCCCTCTGTTTTAGATGACGTTTTTCTTCCATATTTGGGTTCTGATAGTGGGTATGTGCCAGTCCAGAAAATTATCATAGCATTCATTCTGCCAGTGACAAGGGTGTTTATCTGCTGGCACTGAGGACTAACTTACTGATGACTTTTTGTGTTGTGTTCACAATGCCAAAGTGAAGAAATAAAGCTGTCTAGAGAGGAAATTAATATCTTTACAATACGAATGTTTTTGCCCTGCTTCTTTGTCGCATCAAAATTCTCTCAGCGTGGCGTAAACTTTAATTTTAGAGTAGTCTGTCTGTTAATGGAGAAGGTGATTAAAATATGTCCAGCCATTTTCTAGCAGCCGGAGAGCTTCGGGAGGCTGTGAATTGCCGAGGAGGAGCTCCCTGGGTGGCGGTGCTGGGTGACAGTGCCAGTGCCAGCTGTGGCTTCCCATTGTCCCCGCGGCTTCGGGCAGCGCCGGGCACACGCTGAGCCCCGGCCGGGCCATGGAGAGCACGCCCCGGGGGCGGAATCATGGAGCCAAATGCCGAGAGCCTGCAGGTATGTGAGCCCCGGAGCAGGGCATCCAAACGCTGCCTGACAGGAGAAGAATAACATGTCTCGAGACAAATTGCAGTTTGCCTTTGGTTTCCCTTTTCCCACAAAAGCCATTCTAGGCCTAATCAGTTAGCAGAGATTATTAGCATCTCTAAATCTCTTCCTTTTGTAAAGATTGACTTGAAAAAGACTTTTTCTTACATCTTTTTTAATAATGGCATTCTTGCTAATTTTTATTTACTGGGTGTTTTATTTGTGCTGTGGTTGGAAAACCATTAAAAATATCTCTGCTAAAAGAATTTCCCAAGGTGGCAGAAACGGGGGAGATGCCTAAATGTTTTTTGTGTGTTTCTTTTTTTAAAGTGTTACTGTTATCTCTGTTCCAATGAGGAAGTACAAACAAGTTTATTTTCTTTTTGTAAAGATAAGTTTCGAACTGAAAACAGTATTTATAGTAGGCTATGTGCAAATGTGTTTGGTTTTTTTTTCCTATGCAGTTGATGAATGTCTTGTGTTGTGGACCAAATGTCTTTTTGTTGAGATAACAAGTAATTTTGGATGACTGTTAAATTGATGACATTTGATTCCATGAAGATCAGTCATTTAATTTTTATCAAATTTCTGCACTATCAGAACTGCTGACATCAGACCTGCTGTGGTTTTGTTACAAATTAAGCAAAAATACGCTGCTAGAGGATTAAAGTTTGTAGGGTAGACAGTTTTGAAATGGTGATTTGTTTTTACCTGTTGTTTGTAATCACCAGATTTTGAAGCAGCCAGGTTATGTTTGTGTGTATGGTGGTGATGTGGTGTGGTATTTGTGAAGCTGTGGCAACAGGACATAGGTGAGAGCCCTGATAATGCCCCAGGGAAAGTTCTTTCATGTTTCTCTTGTTTGCTTTGATGTTTTTTGTCTTCATTTTATACAGAGATGGTACAGTAACTTATCAAGTTAATGAATTTTGTTATAAGATGGAAAGAAAGGGCCTATTGGAGTTGGAGCTTTTGCTTCTTAACTTTTTTGAAAACTAAGTCCTTTGCATAATTTTGAATATCTTAGGGTCCAAAACAGAATCTTTAACCTTGCCTGGTAACTCCAGGAGTCTGTTCCTACCACCCACTGTTGAAATTTGTGTCAGTTTTAGAGACACATTTTCATGTTACTGATGGAAATATGATGAATAAATGTTAGCTTAGATATTCTGAGAATGAAATCTTATTTATGTACAGAAAATTGTTAGCTGCTGTATGCAGTTGTGGATGGCTATTTTCTAAATGAAATGGAGATTTGTGTCTTAAGAAAGCTGCTATTTGGAGGATCTCCACTAGAAATAGTTGAAGGCAATGCTTCAGTTCATTTACTTAAAATAGCTGGGGAAAAAAATCAATCTTTGACTATTTTAAGGTTTTAGTTTGCTACTGCATCATCTGGGGACTTGTAGATGGCATGACTTTGTTTGATCTTATGTGTTTCTATGGAGTGTTTTGAGTAGAAACATGGTTTTTTTTACATCATCTGGACTCTAAAATATTTATGTTCTCTTACTTCTGGACTGTTTCTAATATACCAAAATTAACCAATGCTGAGCTTTAAAGATTCTTGAAGATACCTTTGGTTAGTTTACAATTGGGTAATAAAAAACAAGTTTCCAATTTTTTTATTTAAAGGTCTTTTAAAGCAACTGTAAACTGCTCTGGCTATGCTTGTACTTTATTGTGCTATAAAACCTCTGACCTTTAGTGAGCATCGACAGCCTCATAAAGAGAAAACCAAGTGTTTTTTTTCCAGAACAATTGATTTCCAATTGACACAAAAAAGCATGTTATTACTCTTCTTATTCCATTTTAAGGCCTTGATACTAGAAATGAGGCTTCAGAGAATGATGTAATGACAGATGATTCTTCTTCAGTTTTTAAGGATTTTTTTTTAATGTGACAACTGTTGCTATTTGATAGTTGAAAACAAGTAGATAGTCAGATCACAGGTCCAAACTCAAACTGGCTTGATGACTTAAAGGTATTTTAAATAGATACATACAGATAAACATTAGACAGATTATTGTGGTGGTGCACACTTTCATGCTATATGTGCATTTCCTAGAATTGTTGGAAGCTTTCTAAAGGTATAGTTAAAAGTGAGTGAAAAATTTGTGCAAAAAAAAAAAGTGCAAGATGTCAAAAGGAGCTGATAAAGGATGGGATGGGTGACCATGCAGTATGAGCAAGGTGAGGATAGCAAGGGCAGGTTTGGGGATTGCTCAAAGGAGAAAATGGCTGGAAGTTGTGGAGGGTGCTGGTGTGGGCACACGGATGCAGAATTTTCTGAATATCAGCTCTAGAGATGGATCAAGAGCTGGGAGGAGTTTTTCTGCTGTCAGTTGGGTTTCTCTGAATGATGAAAGCTAAGCCAACAAAGTCTTCGTCAGCATAGTTGTTTCTACAGAGCTTTTGCTGGTACAGCAATGTCATGTGAGAAGGGCATTCATTTTTCCCCTCTCAAGCCAACAGAACTATGCTAGCAAAAACTAAAGATATGTCATGCTGTATTTCACAAGCATTTCTAAATAGTTCTTTCCTCATGCCTTTGGACAGGCCTGTTCTTTGGGGGATGAGAGGCTTAGCCATTCAACAGATGGATTTTCCACTAACCTAATGCTCTGCTCTCTCTGAGGTATGGCATTTTGGAAAGGTTAATGCTCTAATAGTGTTCAAGCTGAAATGGCTTTTGTCTGCCAAGGTATGTTTCCCTGTGCAGATGCTTGCCAGGAGGCAATTATATAAAAAATAGTGTTCAGTGAACTGTTTTGAAGTCTGTCTGGGAAATTTTTTTTTTCTTCTCTTCCTAAAGCTACAAAAAAAAAAAAAAAAGTGAGAATAGATCCTAATAGAGCTACAACTTTAAATAGTATATAAACCATTTAAGATTATTTTTGTTACCTTAATGAGGGTGGCCTAGCCACAGAGCTGTGTTTTATAATAATAGTATGTGAATGTTTGCCAGGCTGGTTTTCATCCACCACAGATTGTTCAGTGCTAGAACTGTCATTTCATCAGAAACCCTGCAACTTGGACTTCCACTGTTCTTCATGTTGGGTAGCTCCTCTAGTCAAAACAAGGACTGCAGTGGGATTTTTGTTTTCCTTAGGTAGTACCTAGCATGCCCAACCTCTTCCTTTCCTAAATGGTGAAAAGAACAGTGCTGTAGGCTGCCAGGTTTAATAGTGAGCTGGAAGCACCTTATAAGAACCCCTTTGTCATGTTCCACTGTAGCAGGAGCTACATCCAGAGAACTGTTTCATTTTCCAGGAGGAAACTGAAGGTGTTTACTTCCTTTGATGTACCTGGCTCTGATTGTTTGTATCAGAAGTGACGTGCAAGAAGGGAACCAAGAGGAGAGAAGGACAGTACTTTGTGCAGAATGGAACAGCTGAGCCTCCTGGGGACCAGAGCACTCTGAAGAAGCAATGGGTAGTGGCAGAATTTTTTCAGGGTACATTTCAAGTTTTATTTTTTGAGTTTATGGATAACAAATGTCAACAAACTCCTGATTTCCACAGGTATTTGGATACTACAGTGTCCTATCAATATGAAGAATAAAAGACAGCTCAAGTCTTGCTTGCCATTAAGTATCTCATTCTCATTTATGCACCTACATTCCTGGAGGAATTATCTTGTTATTCTTTGTCACTGTCAGCTCAGTGTTTCTATTGCATTCAGGAGTGAACTCACAGGAGAAGGTGAGGCAGGATTAAAGAGCCTTAGAGTATTGCTCAGAATTTAAAATATAAAAAGAGGGGGAGGGATAGTTGCTAATAATACACCTTGGCTTCTCACATGCCTATTCCTGTGAAAGGTGTCCTCTTTAACAGCCTGTCAACTGTCTCATGAGCAGTGGTAGTGTCCCATCTGAGGCCCTGAGTGTGAAAAAGAAGGGCGCTATATTGCTCTGTAAGAGAGGTTGTAGCATGCAAAATGCCCCAGTAAAGAGAAGAAGGTGTTTAAGAATACTGGGGGCAAGTTTCAGGTTTTGTTTCTAATGTTCAGCATTATTGTTGTCCAAATGACACCCTGTGTGCTGAGTGTGTGCATGTCTGGAGTGGGTGTTTCACAGGTGTGTTCTGGTGCTTTAAGGCTGTCTGTGCCTTTCCTTCCTCTCTCCAGGCTGTGCCAGTGAGGGGAGGTGCTGCCTTGGTCCCAGGGGTGCCCAGCTGTGCCCTGGGACAGGCAGTGCCAGTCCCTGTGAGCTCAGGGAGTGTAAACCTGTGCTGTGCTGCTGCTGGAGCAGCACCTCTGACAGGGCAGGACACTAAACAGGAGAGCAAATCTCTTTGTAAAATTGCAGCAAGATGAACTAGAGCAGGACCTGGGACAGCCTTTTATTTGGTTCACTTTTGAGGGGTTTTCCTTCCAAATTGGAGGAAACTTTGTTGAGAAGGTCTGCAAATGGCTTCTGGTGCATTTGGTTCTATTTCTGTCCAGTTAATTTTTTAATGATGTCTACACTTGGTAGTAGGACATAACATGCACAGACAGTGAGATGCATTCAGTCCCTAATTAATTTTGGAGGAGATAGCTGCACATTGTACTTTTGTATTCTGATTTATCATACTCTTTCTTTGAAAATCTGATTACTAAGTACCTTGGTAAATTGAATCAAATAAGAAGTCTCTTCTAATACTAATGGAGTAAATAGCATTTAGTTGTTAACTGATTAATGTAAAACTTCAAAATCTGTGTAAATAGCATCATCAAGAAAAGCATAAATCTTTGATTTAAGTGTATTTGAGTAATTGCAGCATGGATTCAGTTGTATAGCATTTTCCACTAAACAAAACTAGGGAATCTTTTAGATTCATCCTTCAAGTGGACCAATTTCTCATTTGTTTGTTTCTAATAATTGTTTTAATTAAGATCAGACCTGCACAATATCAGAGTTCAATAGGCAGGCCGGGACTCTTTGCTCCCTAGTTGGTCGTTTAATGGGTCTCAAACTTCAGCCATGACATGCAGAAAGCAGGAGTGTGTTGACTTTTCTGGAAACAGAGAACAGCTGTCTGCATAATTCCAGTTTATACTTCTGATAATTGTACAAAGCTGCTTTGAATTTTCTGTTCAATGAATGGCAGTCTTAGTATCAGCTGCTACATTTTTACGGGTGCTGGGTGGTATATTTTAACAGCCTGGGCCACTAGTTACTAGGGAGGGCAAAATTGCAGACCCTGGCATATGGCTCCTGGATCATCCATGAGCACAGCCTGGTTTGTTTCTGGGCAGGAGAATTGTTGCTCCCTCTGGAATCCTCCCGTGCTCTCCAAGTCAGGATTTTCAAGGTTGTGTGGGGTTGCTTTCGTTTGTTTTCTCTCCTTTCCTCTCCTTCATCACCTTGGGCACTTTTGTCCAGTCCTTTTCCCATCTCTGCCTTAACAGAAGTTTCCCGGGGGAACTAATTTGTTCCAAATATAGATGTTTGCCAGGTTGTCCACCTTTTGTTTCAGGATTCATCTCCAGGCTCTCAGCTACCAGATAATAACATTAACCTGCATCTTCTTGTTGCTTTATTTGAGTTGGGCTGGTGCTGTTGAAATGCCCTTGCTGGAACTGCTGGGGCAGAGCTGAAAGTCACCCCTGCAGAAAGAGCTGTACAGCTGCTGCTCTTCTTCCTGGGGCTTTGTTCCTGCTGCCCAGGGCTCCCATAAATGTCCTGTGCACCCCCATGGCCTGTTAGCCCAACAGAACCTGCCCTAGCCCAAGGGCTTCATGGTTCTGGGTCACTTCTCACAGGGAATCACACCATGGACAAGTTCAGCAAACACCAGAACTGGTGGAAAGGTGGAGCTGGAGACTGTGGGACAGAGGCTGTAGGGAGCAGGAGGAAGAAGCAGGAGCTCCCCTTCATGAGTTCTCCCTTGATTTGGGTGTCGCAGACATCTTGCCAAAATTAATTGCTACCAAGAGCTGTGTGTAGGCAGTGGTATACAGAGATTAAGCAGTAGCTGGATGCAGTAATTTTTTTAGTTATACCCATAGTTTTATTAAGAAAATTTTGATTGATACCTTTCTGCTTAAGGTATTAACATTTTCCTCTTCCATCCTATGAAAGCAACATATGTAACTTTGAGTGTTTTCAGTTGGTGAGGAGAGTTCTAGTCAAAGGATCCCTGAGGTAATGGTGTTAATATAGATTTGTTTATGTAATTGAGGTGAAAAATGGCTGGGAAAAGCTCTTGTTGTGCAGGTCTTTCATATAGATCTTCAAAAATCCATTTTCCTAGGAAAGGTCCTGACTTTTCTAAATAAAAAACTAATCACTTCCTCATCCAAGAAAGGTTTATACTACTGTGATGTCAGGGGTGAAGCAAAACTTTTCCCACAGAGTTTGGAGGATTCATCCACCAACCTTCCACTTGAAGGAGGGAGTTGCTGTACAAACTTGCTGGGGAAGTTGTGGGAAGAGGCTTGGTTGGTTGCAGGAATTCTGTTGATTTATCAGTCAACAGAAGCTTGTTTAAGAAATAAATTTTCACTTTACCTTTCCACGTTCCTTTTTCACATTACCTTTCCAAAGTGTGTCTTTGCATGTTGAACATAGATTTTTTTTTCACCCCCACCCTTCTAATCCTGTTTTCTGCCCTGAATTGGACTGATACAAATTATTTTGACAGTCATTCCTGGGGTCTTTTGACAACAATTATATCAATAATTTGAGAAAAAAATTCCCTTTCTGTCTATGACCATCTCTTTTGAAGAAAAAGAATGTATTGCTTCTGTTGTGGGCAGTGCAAAGCTTCCTATCTCCATCTACACTGCCAACAAGGAGTTGGAACTCTTGATGCTTCTTAGAGAAATTGGATTAAGTGGATCCTATTCCCAGAAATATCTCTGCTCATTACAAGTCAGTTTAGTGGGTTTACATATGGTAATGTTCAAGTCAGAACCCAAAATGAGGCACCCAGTGGTTTTTCATGTATCAAGATTCAGGAGGCTGCCATCATAAAACTCAGGAATGACTTTGCTTTAGTCTGTTGGGTTTTTTTTTTACTTATCTTCTAGGCTGTGCAAAAGAAAGCAGTAAGAGCACAGCACTGACTGGTTTTCTGATCTGCTGACTGCAAGGCTCATATCTGTGGAGTACTGGACATCATCTCACAGCTGATAAGAACACTTCCCTCTGAAAGGGGAGAGGAGCTGCATGGACAAAGTGGTGACCACTTGTTGGAAGAGGATTACCAGATTTTAGGATGAATATTGGGGTATAATGGTGCTGATATGATGAGGAAGAATGTACATTTCAGTACTGAGTATTTAGATGGGGCAGCAGTCCTGAGGGTGAAGAACATAGGTATGACATTTATCCTCCACTCTTACACGCAAGTCCTTTTACTACCTGTCTGTTAAAGTAGGGGTCTGTTTTTGTCACCTGTGAAAGATACTAGAATTAGTGGGTTTTCTTTCATGAGACGTGTTGGGAGCTGTTTGAGCTTTTAATTGCAAACCCAGGTAGTGCTCTGCCCCTAATACTCAGTCCTTTCAACTGTTTAGATAATTTTAGGGCAGAACCTCATTTGTGTCCCTCCTATTAAAATCTGCAATACTATGTTGGTCTGTATTGCAATCCAGTGTAAAGCCAGTGCTGGGATTTTGTTTCAATTAATCAGTTTGCTTACCAGACCCTATTTTCTCCCTTTTCTCCCCAAAAAACTGAGCAGCTCCTAAGGGCTGCCTTCCTGCCTTATTTTTTTTTCTCTCCTTTTACCTGTCCTACATGGGGCACAAGAAATTAACTTCCAACTGTACGGGGAGGTGAAAGAGGTGGGATTCATAAGGAAGGGGTGATTTGTTCCACCACTCAGTCTGCAGCACATAAAATTCCTTAAATCTTTTTTTAATCCAGTCAGTGGAAGTTTAGAAACTAGAACCAGATCATCTCAGCTATGAAAATTGGCTGAATTAGAGGAAACTTCAGGGGTGGAATGTTATCCAAGTACTTAAACTCACAGTTGTGGATCACGAACACAAGGTTGCATTACCAATCTCAATGAATCTATGGCTGGTATTATTAAAAATAATCAGGCAAGCAAAGATTCATCTTTCTATTCTGTGTTCTTTGCTGCTAGTGTGAAGCACAGGGTTTGGCATTTACGCATAGATGCACATATGGTGATTCCAGTTGACTCAAAATAGCTCCATTCTATGAACCCAAAGTTGAGATATTTTTTTGTGTGAATTGGAGCTCCACAGCTTTTCCTCAGTTCTGTCTCTTTGACTGTAGGATACATAACACCAAATCTGCAGGCTTTGAATCTATCTGCAGGGAAAAATCTGTTCAGAACAAGTTATAAACTAATTTGCACTTAGTTTGTCGTAGGAAATGTAAGGACTTTTCTTGTTCATCAGTTTCCTGGATTGACCTAGGCAAGCAAGGATATTTGCAAACTGTGTTTTGGTAACTGAGTGTGCTGTTACATGTTTTTAGAATGGTGTTGCAAATGGGCAGGAGCTCTTAGTGTATTTGATAGAATCAAAGAAAAACTTGATGTTGATTATCATTAGTATTTTGTGATTTATGTAGGGAGTAGTAATTAAATTACACTTATTTTGCAGTATTATATTTGCAACTGGGCATAAATGTTTTGGGTTTTGTTTTGCTGTCTTCAGCCTGTAATGTTTTTAACGTGTATCTAAATACTGTACAGGTCACATGTCAGTCAACAAGGTGAAACAGCATCTCTATTCAAGTTTTGTTTACTGTAAAGGTTCTGAGCTTCTTAATAAATTTTGTATCAGCATCTGGATTATCTGGAAAAAAACACCTCAAAAACCAACAATCCAGGATATCCTTTGTTGCATTTTTGCATTTTTCCATTTCCAGTTTCTTTCATCCTTAATCCTTTTCCCTCCATTAGATTCAGCATATAGGATCTCTTAGAAGCCTGAACCATAGCCCATCTTTTATCTTTCTTTTCCATGCTTTGCAGCAAATTTCGGTGCTCCAGATGTCTGTAGTAGCTCATCTCTTACCAAACTGTGTTTCTTCAGCTCTGGAGCAGCGGTTGTAGCCAGGCTTTAATCTCCCCTGTGAGGGAGCAGGAGGAGCTGGACACCCCAGGTATTCTCAGGGCTCCACTGGATCTGCTCTTAGAGCTCTGGCCTGGCCTGCAAATGCTTCCTTGGCCTGGTGCTATTACTTATTTCTCAACTCTGAAAAAGAGGGAAGATGGAAACTCTTCAGTTTTGCAGAAATGTGTAAATCCTCATTCCAGGGCAATTATTTTCTTGAATAAAGTGAAGCCATCTTCTGTGATTGTTGTTGCCCAAAACAGGGCTTCTGGGTTGTGCTCATAGATGATTAACAAAGAGAAAAACTGTTCTGCTGACAGCCATTTGTGAGCTTTCATGGCCTGTTACTCCTCCACACCTGCTGGGCTGCATATTTCAGACTCTTTGGGAAGATACCTCCTTGTTTATAGAAGCGGAGTTTCAGGAATGCCAACAAAAGTTTATTGTGACTACTTGTTAACTCTGTAATGCAGAAATGTCTTGGACGTCCAATGAAACTGTTACTGTTTCTGGATAGAATGAGCAGGATGGATATGACATGGTTTATTTTTTTTCTTTTTTTTTTTCCTTAAAATGACTATTTAAGTTTTTAGGTGTCATCATGTTCCATCTCCCCTTCCACAGCAAATAAAAATATAATGCATTTCCTTTGTTGATTTTTCAGGCATTCAAAAGGGATGTTCTTGCTGATTCAAGACCAAACAGTTCTGTCCAGGACTCTACACTGGGGATAAGGACATGGGACTCCTCCTGCCAGATTCCAGCTGGTTCATCACAACTGACATCTTGGCTGACAACTGTGAAAAGGATCTGCGGATTATTCTATTTTATTTTTGTGGGAGACCACAATCCCCAAACTCTAGGACATATCAGGTACTAAATCAAACACTGAGCTTTTCCATAACATTATTGGATTGTTATTTGTTTCTTATGAAGGAGTTTAGGCATTCAGATCTTACTCTTTATTTCTTATAGGAAATGGAAAACCCTTGGTTTTGCATCTTGCAGTAGCTGAGTAATGACAAGGAGTTGTGTTTCTTATTTCCTTTGGAAAATTTGGGGTTTATTAGTTATGTTTATATTGCATTTAAAATTATTATAATAAATTGTAATTGCTGTTCATGGTTATTATCCTAATTACCAAATTGTTTCTTTCTTCTTTGTTGTTTTTGAGAGAATGCTTAATTTTATTAACACTAGTTTTGCTACAGTTTGTAAGTAAGATAATTCCTGCATTCAGAACTTGTCTGGTTATTACCTGTCAACAAGGAAATTTTAAAAGTTCATGAAATTTATGAGTGTTTGCACACTTGGGGTGTTATGATTCATGTATTTACTTCCAACCCCTTTTAAGATAAATCTATATGTAATCTTCTTTTCCTTTGAGAAAATCTTGCCTTGTTTCTGTTGGAGCCTAGTTTGATTTGGAGTATCTGAATGTTCAGGTGTTTATTTTTAAAATGTGGAAGAGAAAATCTGTGAGTGTTATCCAAGAGTGTAGCTCTCCATTCTTGTTTGTGTAGATGTCTGCTGTTACAGACCACTGATAAACGTGGTTAAAAAGACATTACTCCTTCTAATACAAGACAGAAAAAAGTATCATAGCAGAGGGGGGATCCTTTTTGCAGCAAATTCATGTTTATTTTGGGTAGCTTTTTAGGTATGGCTTTTTAATTCATTTTAAATTACTCAATAATTCACTTTTTCTTTGTTCTAAAGGTTCCATATTTCTTGTAGAATTTTAAAATAACCTTTTCTAATGAGGATGTCTGATATTCTTACTGTAAAAGATGAAACTGATGCAATGAAGGGTTCAGAAGCTGAATTTAAAGATACAGACCCAGTTGAAAACCTAAAAAAATCAGGAAGTCAGGAAGAGATTCAAGTGGAAAAGGATGAAAATTGCCCTGATAACAGGAACAATATGCCGGTAAGAAGCTTTTCACTTCATTCTTCACTAGTATCATGTTAAATAAGTCTGTGTCTTGTTGTGCTCCATTCTCTTGATCCTCTTACATGTTTCTTTGGTACAGCAAGGAAAACTTTGTTGGTTTTAGGGAAGTAAATATGATGATTATTGCTTCCTCTCTCCTCCTTTGCCCCACTTGTCTGTTATACTCATGTAAATATGACTCAGTCATTTTTCATTCTGTGAAGTAGATGAGTGGTTTTGCTGGGAACCAGACAATTTGTCCGTGTTTGTGTTTCCCTGAGTGCATATGTGAAGTCTTTCATTGTAGCAGAACAAGGAACAAACTCAGGCTGGCTTTTGCTGCTGCTGAATCCTGACAGAGTTTGGAGCTGGGCTGTGTGTGCTGTGTTGCTGCTTTGAACACGGTGCTGCAGCTCAGCCAGGCCTGTCTGCCCTGGGCAGGGGTGGCCAGCCCGGGGCTTTTGAGCTGTTGCACTTTGCAGGTGCCTCAGATGTGGATTTTTCCAGTAGAGCTGTTCAGCATAAGACTGAAGTGATCAGCTGTAGGTAATCCAAATCCCCAGGAGCCAGAGGGATCCAGAGCTCCTGAGGCCAGAGGTCTGAGTGCTGCCCCAGCCAGTGCAGAATGAGCTGGGGAGCATCATCCTGCCTTGGTGGGCAGCAGATTCTCCCTGCACCTTCTCTTCTCTGATCTTCACTGCTTGACAGCTTTGGGAAGTGACTCCTTTGGGTAGGAAAGCTGAGGCAGTTCCTTGTGCACACGCTGAAAATCTGAGGCATATAAATGGATGGCTTTTGGAGGTGGGAGAAGTGAAGCACCTGTAAGGAAGTCGTGGCATCACATTTCAAGTGAGAAGGAGGCAAAGCAAACAGTGTGAAAATACCTTGTGTCAATGGAGAACACACTGATAAGGAAGGGTTGGAATTTGTGGCAGCACATTTAATCTAATCTGAGATGTAGGTGTGGGACAAGAGAGCTCACTCCTGGCTGAGGCTGCCCACCTGGTCACTGAGCACTGTAAGCAGCTCATGTGAGGGGAGGGGTTCAGGAAAGCAACAGAAAATTTCTGACACAACCTACAAAACAGGCCAGATTTGTAAAAGGAAACACAGAAGCTTGTGTTTGGCAAAAACTTTAGTTGTCTATAGGAATTTTGTGTTTGTGGGTTAATACTAAGCAATTTTTTTTAGAGAAGTCCTGATTGGGATCTGAGGGATCTCTTGTGGATTGCAAAAACAGGACAGTAGCTTATTAGATTCTTGTTATTGAGATTTGAGTAAAAGGTTCTTTGGGGAGTAGTTTTGTTCAAGATTAACAATTCAGTATTCCACTGGGTGAAGTAAGTTTTATCTTCTATGTTAAATTGCTTCCAGATAAATCTTGTAGACCACTGCAATAACAATAGTTTTACACTTTAATATCTGCTGGCTTTATTAAGGCTGGCATCAGTATAAATAGATAATTTTATGGAAAAAATAAATCCTTGAAATGAAATATTTCTCCTGTAACATGAGAAATAACTGCTACTGAAAAGCTGGGAGATATTATAGCTGAGCTGGTATTTTCTTTAATTAATGGAATATTCTAGTACTGAGCCTTAAAAATCTACTGTTTAGTTATTTTCATACAGTTCAGTAATTTGGAAAAATCTCATTCACATTTTCTCATTTAACAAGTTTTAGTGTGGAAATTTCTATGAGACTCAAGTGGCAATAAGAAATAAGCCTTCCTGCAAACAACTGCTGCTGCCTCGTCAGAGTGCAGAGGAATGAACCTGCCAGTGCTGCCAGGGCCTGTGGGCTGGCAGGGGGTTCATTGCTCAGCTGGGTGCTTGCTCAGGAGCAAGAGCTGGTGGCTGAAGTGATTATCTCACATCCACAAAATGGACTGGACACTGAAGGCTGTTGGATAGAAACAGCTCTGCTGTCACTGTGGTGTCCTGGAGTCTCCTTCAGAATCAGAACATTGCTGGTACATGAGCAGTTTAATTCAAAACTGAGGATGCAGATTTCCAGAGTGGCAGAAGACAGACAGTTACCAAATGGAACCTGGCTACTGTGAGCAAACCCCTTGCAACAACTGAAATCAGCAGAAGTTAATGTCACTTGTACTGTGGAGGCTGCTAGTGCAAATATATGTCTCATATTTGAGGGTTTCCCATTTAAAGCATGTTTTATGCAAAAATACAAAACAAAAATATGGGGTTGTCCATAGTAAAAAAACCCTTGTGGAACAGTAGCAGTCAGCAAGTTTTTATCTAATGGATGGTTAAAAAATTTGATGAAATTTCAGTGGACATAGTACTTGTCATTAAGTTAAATGGTTAGGTTAAATGTTACTGTGGTGGTGGAAAAAAGAGCAATGAATTTGCTGAGAAATGTTAGAAAAGATTATCAGAAATTTACTGGAATTTGTTATGTACTTCTGTTTACTGAGTGCTTCAGAGGATGGGTTGGTCATGAGGGTTGGGTTTGGCTCTCCTCCCTGGTGGCAGAATAGGTTTGGTACCTACTGACAGACTACAGTCACATTCCTCAGTACAGTTATCACTTCATCACTTTGACTTCTTTACGCCATGGAAGAAACAGGCTGTGATTTTTCCTCTGTCTGAACTTGGCATTCCATCAATGGAATGCTCAGTGATAAATTTACCGCTCAATTTATCGAGTAGGTCATCTAACCATGTCCCATCATCAACTTTGATCTTAGCTACACCTTCCTTCCATTGCTGTATGCTCTTATGGATTCTGAATGATCAGATAAGTTCATGCAACACATTCCATCATGGGCCATTGAATTCAGGCATGTTTTTGGAACAGCACAGTTCAGAAACCGGTGGTTTTATTTTGAAATGCAACTGTGGTTGTAAATTCCAGATTATTTGGAGGTTCTGCATTAATAACTGATTGGCTGCTGTGTCTGGAGGTACAATGTGAATGAGGACAATACCTAATTACAGTACATGGCCAGCACTCCCCATTTCTTTAAACAGTACAAAAGTAGTGTTACTGATACAGAGAACATTTCTAAACTGGCATATTTGCAGTGAGGTTCAAGTGTCATTTCAATGGCACTGGAGACAAGAGGCACTGTTATGAAAAGTACTTTCACAGAAGTCATGTGCACATCAGCACTGTGGTGGGTTTGTGGTCAGAAGGGTTTTGGTTCACCAGTCGCTGTTGTCTCCCAGCTGTTCATCTTACCCAGGCCAGGTGACAACCAATGGAATCAGAGTTAGCTGCAATACAGGGTCTGTGTTGCTGTCTCTGGGGGGTGAGACAGGCAGTGTCATCCACTGTAAGGACAACGCTGCAGGAAATGCTGACAACAAATTAAAGATCCTGGATTGATCATGCACGTTAGTCCCTTATGTTTTTTTAATTAGGAAGACTTCTGTTTTAAAACCCAAAAAAGCCTCATGGCGTGAGTGCAGGGTGGTACCCATCTACTCTATGATAAAGGCAAGGCAAATGTTGTGTTAAGTGAGTATAATTCTGGTTTTGTTTTATGCTAATTAAGCAGATATCCTTGTCCTTTGGGGCAATTAGATAATTTTTTTTTACTTAGCAACTTGACATCTCTCTTCCTACAAGCATCTTCTTTCTGTACTAGCACAAGTGTTGATCTTCCCTCTCTGTTTCACAGCTGAAGTTCTCTGAAGTCATTCTTTGCCTTTTCCCCAGCTGTTTTGGTCTTGTCAGGATTTACCTGTCTTTGTGTCCAAAATATAGGATGTAATAATTTTGAATAGATCAATGATTGGGCAGATTCTCTTATTCTTGAGCTGCCTCCATGTCCAAGGGTGAAACTATTTTTCCATCAGTCATCCTCTACTGTGTCATGGAAAATTGCTGTCACTGCTCACTAATGCAGGACAGCAAGTAACCATGGACCACACTGTTCTTTCCATCAGCTTTACAAAGCTATCCATGGTTCTTGGGACTGCAGCACTTGACTGGGTTTAAAATTGAGACCTAATTTTGCAGAAAGGTAAAAAACTGAATGTCCTTAGAACGCTCTTTGTTCAGATTTGTCATGTTGTGCCTATCCTCAGCAATGCCCAAATGGTACTTCAGAAATAAAACCTCTTCTCACAAAACTTTTCACACGTCTGAGTTTGCCATCTTGTGCCTGACCTGTTTTTATTCAGCTTGTTTAGACAGCACAGTGATGATAGAGGAAGGCATGTAACAGCTCCAGATCTTTCCATTTAGTATATGTGAGCTGGTGAGGTACTTAGGAAAAAATAAAGTAGGCAAATACTCCTACTGAAAACCTGGCTATTTATATGTTTTTGATAAAAGCTGCCTTACTTCCCTTTTTATTTTGCAGTTGGAAATGTAGCATAGTAGTTGGTCTGAAAAGTTGTGTTGGTGGGGTTTTATCAAAGGCAAGAACCTAATCATTATTTTCATTATGCAATTATTTGAAATACTTGCTTTTAAACACTGTCTTGAAATCCTGCCCATAATGGCTATAAATAGGGCTTTCATTAACACAGTGTTTTCTTAAGGCAGTGAAAGTCTTTGAGAGCTGCAAATATAAAGAAATTGCCTAATTTGCACTCACCGAGGATTGCATATTCTAAATGAGCTAGAAATTATTTTTCACAAATGGGGAACATAAAGATGTTCTGTATGAGCAAAACTTTGTAAATGCAGAGAAATTAGGACAGAGATAAAACTCATGGGCCTGAAAAGAGAGAAAATGTACATTAACAGCTACAACGTGCATTGGCTACCTGCTGTCCTGGAATTCCAGTGGAAGTGGTGTCATCCTCTGTCAGTGTGGTTTTGCCCAAGACAAACTGGATTGTACCCACCCATCTCCAAGCTCTGAGAGGGCAGTTCCTGGTGGTGTCAGAGGAATTTGGGGTTTGTGCTTCCAGGCCAGGCCGATCTTGCACCATCGAGCTGTGCTCTCCTGAGCTGTCCCTGCAGCCTGGCCCCACCAGCTTTGTTCCAGTGCCTCTGACCTGTCATGTGTGGTGCTCACTGCTCACAGTCACAGCTGGGTCTTGGGGACTGGGATTTTGGATTTGGACATCCTTAAAGTCACCCAGGGAAGCCAGGAGTCCACACCTATCACAGGGCTGCTGGGCAGGGCAGTTGTTTCTAGATGAGAAGTTTGAGTATGATGGATGGAGTTTACTTTTCTCATCTGTGAAGGAAAAACCTCCCTCCTACAGTGGCCTTCCAGCTCTCCCCAGTATTATTGATGTTTAGTCCCAGCAACCATTTCTTCTTTTTTTTAAATCACTTAAAAATAACTGAAATGTGTGTGACTTATCTAATTATTGAGCAGTAGCTCGATGTCTTGCATAACTGGGTTGAATTCCCTCTTGTGCCCTATCAAATCTGGATCTGGGTGTTTGCTTCCATATATTCTTTTGGCTGATGTACTGGCTTCAAAGCTTGCAAAATTTTGCAAAAGATAAACAATTGCCCAAGTATAGATTCTTTTGCCTCTTGACAGTGAACTGAGGACTCCACTGGCAGTCCTGATGTGACTTTAAATTTGCGCGACTTTATTTGAACACACCTAAGCTGATTGAGGCTGGAGTAATTGATAGGAGCTTCGGAAATCATCTAGTTTTTGAAATTTAGTAGCTTGGTGTAACAGACACTTTGTCAGGGATATGCAGTGCCAGCTTTCAGGATGCAAGGAATGCTTTCAGAGGAGATGATGGAAAGGAAAACAAACTTTGCACGTAACAGAAAAACTCGAAGTCTCTGTGTGGTTCCAGGTATGGAAACAGCAAAACTCAGAGTCTGAATGGTTCCAGGTATGAAGCGTTTGAACTGTCGTTGCTGCTCAAAATCTCAGCAAGCTTCCTTTAAAAAGCTGGTGGTGAGTTCAGTTAGTTCTCAGTGCAGCTATTTAAAATTCTGTTACAGAGTGAAATGAGCTCCCCTTCTGCTGCTCCTCAGCTAAGCTGGTGCATTATCCAAAATAGACATGTGGGACTTGAGGAAAACGAAAGACAAAGCTGTTCTGCCTTTACATGGTGGAGCTCTTTGCTGTAGGTGAGGTGCCTTTTTGGTGATGTTGTATGCCCTGCTCAGAAGTTCAGGCACTTGATAGACATCTCCTGTGAGCTAAGGCAAGGAGAGCTGCATTTATGGAGTTTGCCAGTGGAGTTTCTATTCAGTTTCCTTTTAAAGGAGGAAATATTGTCCATTAAACAACATTTGATATTGCATTACTGATGTTAATTTCTCCTTACAAATATTAGGCCTGTGCTCACTAAAACCTGTTCTGTTAAAAGCTTGTCTATTCATCAGTTTTAGTTCTCCAGGGAAACCAGTACTTAAATTATGTGATGCCACTCTAAATGTTTCTATTCTTGTGCTACTGGCAGTGAGGGTTGAGTTAGTTTTAACTATGCAGTTAACAAATCATTAAATGCTTTTGTTGATTCAAATGTACCTTTCAGCTGTGCATACTGTAGTAAAAGCCTGATAATTTTTTTTAAGAATCTATTGTAATAGAAGAAGGGCTTTGGGAGGAAAAAGCAAATTATTGCATAATAAGTTACTAAAATGGCTCTGGGAGGAGAAAAAGCATATTAATTCATAGTAAATTACTAAATGAAAAAAAATCAGTAGCCCATTTTAAAATATACTTGTATAGGTCCCAAGATGAAAGAAAAAAAACCCCACATGTTTGAAGTTGCTCATGATAGGTTATCATCTGTTATCTGTTCCCTTGGTAGAGGCAATGCTTTCCTTTTTTAATATAATTTTTCTAGATAGGTTTCAGGAGTAGGAAGAAAATTTATAAAAACCATGTCATGTTGCCAAGGAAATTAGAAAACAAGAATTGAAAGCGTAGCTGAGAGCTGGCTGAGAGAGTGAACTGCTTGGATGCCACTGAACAAGGATAATACTTGGTTCCTGTAAAAGTGCTCTGATACCTATTGCTGATAAATGAAGAAGGGAAATCAAGGACAAGGCTGATGAAAGCGGGAGAGCTCCGAATCCGTCAGCCCGGAGCGCCTGCTGTTCCTTTCACAGATCTGCCCGTGTCAGTGCTAACTGTCAAAGCTTTCTCTTGTACAGCCTTTTGCATTAACAAACTTGTGCCCTGAGCTAATGTCCCCTTCTCTGTTGTGCCTGTCGCCAGCGGCCAGCGCAGTCCTTTGCCCAGACGGCCAAAAGGTCCAAGGTACGGTAGCCCGGTGTGCTGGCATGCCAAGGGAGCCCTTCGTGCTTGCTGCGCCTTCGTTACTTTGTGGAAAGTGCCTTTAGTTTTCTTTTTTGGCATTGTAGCTTTGTTTTATTCTGTTGGGTTTTTGTCTTGCCTAGTTGTTTGCTTTTGTGATTTGCCTTTATCTTTTTGGTGGCTTTTTATTGTTACGGAGAGAAAATCTTTCCCAACATTTTATTTACTTTTCTTTAGATGTGCTCTATTGTGCTGGTAGTGCCTTTAAAAGCTGCAATTGCTTGGTTATTTTTATCCTAAAGGGAATTATTTATTCTGTTGAAAACGTGAAAAATGCCGTTTTCAGCCATTTTGTTTTTCATATAATGAATGAAAAAAATAATGGCTTATGGTATATTTATATTATCTTTTATAAGCCATAGATTTTAATTTTACATACTTTCCTTTAGTCAAACACAAAGTTAAAGTTAGTTCGGAGCCTTGCTGTATGTGAAGAATATCCACCACCTCCCACAGCTGAAATATCCCAGGACCTCCAGGTAAAAATTACCTTACTGCAGTTTCTGGAACAATTTCAAGTAACTTCTTGTTCAAAAGAAAGTCTGTTGGGTATTCTTTAAATATGTGGATACCATCTGGTTTTGTTTTTTCTGTTTTTTTGGGGTTTTTTTTTACTACTGGTGTAATGGAGGTGATAATATCAGGTGCAGAATTTGCTGCTTTGTTTTTCTGTACTATACTAGTTGATATCTGTGGGCAGGAAGAGGGGGTTTGTCAGTTCTTTTAACATATTAGTCCAGCAGTGCACTTGAGGGACTCTTAAACTGCTTAAGTGCTGTCTGCAATTAGTAAGACAGAAACATTGTGATTAGTATGGAGCCTAACTTATTGTCTTTGTATATTTTGAAAATGGAAACAGTTGTGATTTCTGATGTTGTAACTGAATTTCTGCATATTAGTCCCAATTGCTGGTAGCTATGCAATACCTGCCTGAGGTATATCTGAATTAATTAATCTATTAAAATTATAGAACACACTTACAGAAGTTCCTACATGCTGAACAAAATATGTAAAATTACTTTAGAGAATTTAAACAAAATCCATGTTTCCTGACTTTACCTCCGTACCAGTCTGGATTTTTAGAGCAAAACCCTGCTGCTGGCTTTAGTTCTGTGCATGAGTGAGGGCCATCAAAATGCTGGGTTTGTTCATGCCTATCAAAACAGAAATGGGCCTTTGCTGTTTTTGAAAAGCTTCTAAACTGTGCTTTTGTGAAAAGTCTCCCTTTGGTTAAGAAGGAAGCAGTAGAAAGCAGGATGTGAGGGGGTTTTGCTGGAGAGGGGATAATTCAGTTCTGAGGCAAGATGGACATTGAGAGCTCATGTAGGTTTTTGTCAAGCTAATTAAAATTTTTTGAGACTGAAACAGTAGATTTGGACTGAAACCCTCCAGGTTTGGGGGGGTTTTGTTCCTTTCAAAAAATAAGAAAATAGTATTTTTGTAGGCTTTTAGTAATATACCAGAATTTGAAGTGTTGACTAGAGGAATTCAGAAACTGGGCCTGCTACCATGATGAAAATCTAAGTCATAGTTTGGAATGGGTTGCAGAGTAAAGGATTAAAAGCCAACAGAAGAGTTATTGATGTTTACAATGATTTACAGTCTTTTATAATGTTTCCCATAATATATCAAAATGGGCTGAGAGATCTGATCAGGCTGAGTTGTTCAGTCTGAAGCAGTGGGGTTTAACTTTGTCAGTCACTGTAGCAAATTACAAGACAGAAACCTGATTTGGTGGACTGATCATCTGTGGTATATTTCCAACATAAGAGGCATTAGGATTTTTCAACCTCCAGCACTAGACAAGACCATGTGTAGAATGGTTTAAAGTCAGGCATTTATAAGGTGGTGTTTGTGGCCAAGTCCTCTGGGAATCTGTCCCTAGCTCTGTGCTGCCAGGTGGCCCTTGAAAGGAGTCCTTGCAGCAGCAGGAGGGATGTCAAGGCTGGCTCTGCAGAATGAATTGGATTGTGTGATAATGTAAGTTTGTACTAAAAGAATACCAGAAAGCAGATTGCCTTAAGAACAAAATTAGAGCTGGCTGTGAGTTTTCTTTGGAAGCAGTAATGTAGAAGAAATGGCTTATGAATCCCAATAGCTGTGCAGAGAATGATTGCTAGAACAAATTTAGTTCTTCCCTGGAGGGTGGAGAAATGTGTTGGAGAGTTAGAAGTGGGAATCTGTTACAAGTTCTGACGCTGGAGTGCAATCCTGTGGGGCACAGGTCTCCCATGACCCTCTGTAACAACTCACACAGGCAATTTCTTCACCCATTTTGCCTCCTTTCCCAAACTATCTTTGGGAAAGCATGGGAGACCTCTTCATATGTGCCAATCAGCTGCTGCAATTGGGACTAATATGCCTCCAGCCCCATGCTCTGAAGCATTAATTGTGCTTGGGATGTGTGGGAGGTGGCTCGGAGAAGGAAGAGCCTGCCTTGCACAAGTGTCTCTTGGCAGCAGGAGAATCGCTTCTTATGCTCCCCCTTCCTGGAAGAGTCACTGCTTCATTGTATCTGTGATCACAACTAAAATTGGCTTCCAGTTTAGTTTTAAGACACAAGACAAATTAAATTCAGGATAGTGTTGCTGGTGATGTTTGGAGAATCACAATTTTGAATTATTGGAAAGTGTTAGGCTTGATAGGATGAAAAATATATGTACTTAACTAGGGAGTGGTGTGAGTTTGGGGATAATTCCATGGTCTTGTCTGTGACTGTTCATGAGTCACCCCTTCACACCAGCAGCTCTGGCAGGGTGAAATTCCTGACACAGGCTGGTGCAGGAGGCACTTAGCAAGGCACCACTGGCTGCTTCTCCTCAGAAGGCTGTGATGGAAGAAGGTGACAGACCAAAGAAATTGTCTCAAGCAGATGAATTTGCTTTCTGATCTATGTTTCTATTTTCAATTGCAACATGAAGGAAGATACTGCTTCTTCCTGAGAAACCTAGATAAGAGCCTTGCATATTTTTAATACTTGTTAAAAAGCTCTGGCAGCCCTTTACTAAAAGGTATTGTGAAACTATAAGCTTACAAATTTATTGTGAGAGGAGAACATAACTGTGATATGTTTGATCTTTTATCTTTGTAACACTAACTCTATATTCTCTTGCCATCATTTGTGTGAACATCAGGTTGTTCTGACTCTATTTTCCAATACAAAGTACAAGCACTAGCAAAGGGTGATCCAGTTCAGCCCTTTTTAAGGAAGAGCTGTTTTCCTATGAATGACAGTTGTTATTATGAGTAACAAGTAAATAAATCTTCAAAAGGCTGACCTTTCTAAGCAAAGTAAAATAGCCCAATGGAGAGGCAGTGGGAGGAGAAGGCAAGGGGATGTAGTGTTAGTTTCTATTGATTTATATTGGTTTTTTCTGGTAGAAAGCTAAGCCTCAGCATGTAGGCCTTTGAGATCTATTCTTACCTTTTTCCCAAATGTGTTAAGCTGGCAGGATTTATCAGGTTTTGATGGTTTGGGATGTCTTCCTGTTTGTTTGGCCTTTTCTTGTTTAATCAAAATTTGGTGACAATTTCCTCTTCTACAATGAGGGCTTGGGATGGATGATCAGAGTTAGGGCAAGGAGTCTGTTCAGTCCAAATGCCAGCAGAGGCCTGCTGCAAACAGGGTGGGATTAAGAGAGTTTTATAGGGGAAGAGAAGTTAAAAGATTTTTCAGCAGCTTTCCAGTCAAGTAGGTCATATTGAATTAGATGCTAGAGTTTTTATAGCATGAAATCACAAGAAAGTGCCCTTTGGTACCCCGTTCTGGTGCATCACACTTTGAAGTAGAGCTGGTGGTAGTAACAGAACTGGCTGTTCAGATGGTGATTCCTTTTTTTAGCTCTTGTTGGGGAAGGAAGTATGAAAATGATTACTTGCTGAGATCCTTTGACTAAACTATTGCTGTGTGCATTACTTGGAATGAGTTTAGAAGTTGCAGTCACTTTTCTAGTGAAGAAAATCAGACTGAAAATTTCCTTAGTTTACTGATGGTTTTGTAGAGTGTTGTAACATGGAGGATAACACATTAGTGAATCCAAGTCAGGAGCAACAATTTAATAGTACAGAAACATTTCTTTCTCAAGTAAAGGTTACACAGCTACTTGGTAGATGGTGAGTGTAGAGCATTTTGTAGTGACAAATCAATTGCTCATTTGAATTACCCTCTGGTTTATGAGGCAAGGAATGCAGAGACTTGTTCTGGATCCTTGAGGTTTGTAGCCAAGTGAATTCTCAAGATTAGGAAAGAATCAGATGGGAGAGTTCCTTGCTGGTGACTGGGGATGGTGTTTATCAGATGCTGTCCAAAGCTGAGAAGGCTTCATTGGCACTGAGTTGTTGTTGTTTAGTGGGTGTTCATGAATTAGGAAGTTTAATTGCAACATTTACTGTGGGGAAAAGTCATAATGAAAGGGAGAGCTGGTAACACTCTCAGTGACTGTTTTTCCCTCCTCTGAAGAAGTTGTGGCCCCGAAGCTGCAGGTGGGAGCTGCTGTTGGCAGAGCCTGGGTGGTGCAGGGCTGCCCTGTGCCAGCACAGGCAGGAGTGGCTGCGGGCTGGGCACGTGAGCAGGCCCCAGCCTGGTGGATCCTGGCTAAATTTAACCCTGGCTGCATTCCACGGGTGAGATCAAGGCTGTGCAATGACACAAGAGCAGAGCTTAGGGCAAGAGCCTGGATGTGGGTAAGAAGGGCTTTGAGGGAAGAGTGAGGACTTGTGTGGGGAAGGATTAAGGTGCAGGGCAGAAGAGGGATAGGCAGGAGAGCGTGAGGGGCAGTTCTCTGGATTGGGAGGGATTAGATGATGTCAGGGATGTGGAGGTGACAGCATGGACTCAGCTGGCATCTGGGGGAGCAGAACTGTCATTAGAGGGAGTTACAAGGTGACAGGGGAGTCTGGTTCTGACAGGACTTGGCCACTGCTCCCGTGGGAGTCCCTCAGGCACAGTGAGTCCATTGCTCCCAAACTCCTTGGCTCTGGCTGTCTGAAATGTGTTGGTCCTCCACTGACAACCTCCTGAAACAGTACAGGGGCATGAAAAGCAAACTGCAGTCTTGCCCTGGTCAGGGTGTTTAGGGGACCATTGTGTCACTAATTTCAGAGAGAAACTTTTTGCTGTATTTGAGAAACAGGTTTTATAATAGTTCACCTACTGGTATAAAACCACTGGTCAGGGTATTTAGGGGACCATTGTCACTAATTTCAGAAGGAAACTTTTTGCTGTATTTGAGAAACAGGTTTTATAATAGTTCACCTACTAGTATAAAACCACAGATTTTGAGGTGGTTGCACCTAAAGCTACTCTATCAAAACACACAGGAAGTTATGAAACTAAGCCTTGATGACAGGTCTGCAAACTTTGCCTTGATATATTGTACTGTAAATATTTCCCCCTTTTGTAGATCTGGAAATGCTGGTCTTAGAATTTTTTTGTTTTGTTTTTTCTTGGTATGAAACAAATCAAAACTTGAAACAAGCTTTTACAGTCAAGAACTGTGAAGAATGGGGAGGAAAAAAGCATTGTGGATGAGACATGACTTAAAAATATAGAGGCACTGTAAAATTTAAACATCTGAAAAATTGGAATATTTTCTTACATGTATGTGTAAGATACTTTGAATTCTCTTTGCAATAGCATCAGGGCCTGGAAGTGTGTGTAAATTCTAAAATGTCTGTGATCCTTTCTGTGCCTCCTCTGTACACTCTGATTTACTGATAAATTATTTCATTGTGTGGTAACATGGAGCACATGTGGAATCAGAATATGTAAACAATTTTTTTTGTTGTTGCTTCATTATTTTGCAGGTAATATAGTACAGAACAGTTCTCCTGCAGGTGTTATTTGAAATAATTTGTGTGGTGACTGATTTTTACTTTTTGACAGGAGAAAATTCAGATCCAGTTGTCACAGTCTTTTGAAAAAGAAGAAAAACCTGCAAAAGATGAATCAGAAAAGGAAAAATCCAGTGATAAACTGTCCAGAAAAATGTTATCAAGAGGTTTGCTTTCTCTCCTTGTGTTATTCAATATACTATATTGATAAAGAACGTATGAAAATACAGTTCTGCTTCCAGGTCTTCATTGCATAAATACTGCATTATTTTTTTAAAACTTTATTTGCAAATGAAGCAAATAGATCAGACACCTTTGAGCTACAGGTGGAATTGGTCCCCAAGGAAAGAGAGCTTGAGAGACTTCATCAAACACTCCAGCAAAAGCTTTTCCTTTCTGTCCTGACTGTGCAGAGCAGCATAAAAACCAGCTGTGTTGTCTCAGCTGTGTCCAAGTGTTCTTTAAGCTGACTTTACGAGTCAGTGGAAGCTCCTGTCTTGTTCCTGGGCTTTGTTATAACAGGTCTGGTGAAACTGAAGTGAGAATGGCACAGCTCCCTTTGTACTTTTTCTGATCCTCATTCAACAGGCATCAGTGTTCTCCTTTGTTTATTTTAATTCTGATAATATCTAGATTTTTTTCAGTAAAGTTTTGGAGTAAGGGTAGAACTACGTAAATAAAAAGAACAAGTATTATGTTTTCACTTAAATATTCCTGCCTTCTGGATTAAAGTTACAGTCTGTGTGCTGAAAATCTTTGGGTTTTAATCTGAAAGGGCTGTGAAATCAATGACATAAGCTTATGTCCATAAACATCAGTTTATGTCCATGCCACCTGATGCCTTCTACAGGTAGAAGACTTCATGCATTTAAGTTGGCAAATCATTTTACAGCTCTTCCTTTAAATATCCAGAAGGTTTACCTAAATATCTTAGATCAGACAGAGTATAGGAAATACCTTTAGAGCTGGAATTCTTTTTCAGACAAGTGGCACTTGTCCATCTCATGTCCCACAATTCCGTAAGGCATTCCTTGTGTGGAATTTCAATGCAGCTTGTCCCAGCTGGCAGCCAGGTGAAATAAAAAGCACTGGGATGGAGAACTTAACCTGCATTTATTAATCTTAGTCTTTGAAATGATGCCTTAAACACCACCCCCAAATACCCAACAGGTAATGATGGGGGGTTGAGAGCAAAGTGACAAAATGCCTGCTCTGAATTCAGCCACTCTCTCCTCTGAAGGTTGATTACTTCCCAATATAGGATATGCCAAAAGAGAAAATTATGGAATTTTAGCATCAGTTCCGGTAATTACAACTAAATCATTGCTCACTTGCAAATTAGAAAAATTGAAGTAAATAATTAGTGAATCTTGACGTTTTTACCAGGGATAGCCTTTTTTGCCTTCTCTTCAGAATCAGAAGTAATTCCAAACCATAAATGTTCAGACTTGGTTGGTTTCATTTAAACTCTCTGGGCAGCTGGAAGAGCTGGGACCTGGGCATAAGTTTGAGTTGTGCCTAACTAAGCTGAGACTGGGTTAAGACATAGGTAGTTCTTGGAAGGAATCTAGTTCCAAAAATACTGTTCCAACACCTGTTGGTTTGAATCCTAGTACCTGGAACCCAAAGGTGCTCACGTAAGGGAAGATTTGGGGTTAAATCATTCCTTTCAGGGACAGATTTTAGGGGATAGTATCTAACTGAATACTTTCCTTCACTGAAACCGGAATGGAGGGGGAAGGTTGAGTCTACTTTTGGAAACATCTAAAAATGATGTTGTGCAAACAAAGCCCAACAGAACAAGGATTTTTAGTCATGCAAAGCACCACCTTGTGAAGGTTAAACTGTTGCATTCTGAATTACAAAATTTCTTTGGGCAACATCCAGTGGTTGAGTAGATGGGCTGCTGCTGCTGCACAGATGAGTACACACACTGCAGTGTGGGACAGTGAGAAAATGTGGCAGGCTGCTGGAAATCAGGTCTCTCAAGGTGATTACCTGCTTCACAACATGCAGCCAGTTGTTAATAGTAGTGGTGTTATTGAAACTTCTGCTTCTGCATGACCCTTCAATTAGGGGATAGTGGGTGGTGGTGGGTTTTCTGTTTTGTTTTTGACTTGTGGGCCTTTTTCCTGAAAACTGGTAGTATTTAATTTTGGCAATAATGTACTTAATGGTTATATAGTATTGATCCATAGTATGTTTAGCAATAATTGGAAAACAGCTTCTTCAGAGTGTAATTTGCTCTCTTCCCCCTCACCCTTAGATTCCAGCCAGGAGTATACAGATTCCACTGGTATAGATCTTCATGAATTTTTAGTAAATACATTAAAAAACAATCCCAGGTAAGAATCAAACGTCAACTTGCTTTATGTTTTTCTTTCTTCTTGTTGCCTGAGGCATCACACTACCTGTTTTTTTGTTTGTGGTTTTATTTTTTCCCCCTCTTAAACGTCTAATCGTCCATGTCAGTTATTCAGGGTGAGAGTCTTGCACAGACTGTCTAAAACATCACTGTAATTTGTTTGCTTTTTGAGCAGAGGTTCAGGACACTGAAGTGGTTTAAATGCTTTTAATGCTTAATATGCAAATGATGTGTTCAGTCTATGTGCAATTCTCTCCCTGAATGGGCTTCAGTACATTGTCTCTAAACCTTGTACAGTCTTGGCACCTGCTTGTTAGAGACCAGACTGCTTTCTCTGATCCTTATCTGTCTTGCACTGAATTTATAGATAAAGGCATTTTTTAAAGCTGTACCATATAACTGTAGGTAGAGAATTTCACTCTGCACGTGAGAAAACAAATCTGACCTAATCCGAGTCCATCATTTGTTGGCAACAGAGCTGACCTGGTTCTGTTGCTCTGAGGTTTGCAGTCTGTCCCTGTCTTGTTTGTTCTTTCCCTCACTGGAGTTTTGTGCTGGCTTTGTGGCTGTAGTGCAAGGCAAGAAATTAACTTGGTGCAATTGTACTCTGCCACAAAAACTGTTTCATTGCATTTGCTAGTCATTCATATTATAGGTAGGACTTCCAATGTGATAATTTATTTGGATTCCATTTTATTCAGAATAAATGTGACATAAGCCATCATATGGCCAAAGCCATAGTCCTGTAGAGTAAAATTAGAAAGCACAGACTTCTGTGAGACTTAGTAGGTGGTTCCTGTTTGAAGCCATAAGCATCCCAGTGGAAACAAGGAATTGTAGGTGAAGAGCTCCATATGTTTCCATGCACAGTGACTGGGAAGCTTGGTTACTTGATGTGCACAGATCATGAACTGTGCATCATTGGATTTCACTGCATCTTAATAGCTTATTAGAACTGGTCCAAGCAGTTTCAGGAAGATTGTTGCTTCCTACCACCTCAACTTTTAGCTTTTTTGTATTTCTAATATGTCAGCACATTGCCACATGTGCCAGCTTTAAGCCCTTGGTTGTTGTTGATACACCCCAACACTTTGTCAGTGATCCCCTGATGTGCTTCACAATCCAAGGACCAGCTGAGGCCTCTGCACACTCCCTGCCCACACCAACCAACAAGGAACAGCCTCAGCCCTGCTTTTCCTCCTGGAGCCTGTCCTCTCCATGACTGCACTTCCTGCTGAGCCTCCTGGCCAGGGACTTCTTGAAGGATCTGTGTACTCTGATATCTGAGAGCAAAACAGCATGGTTCAATACAAAATAGCAAAAAAAGAAAAACCCTGTCCTAAAAATTCTGCATTTGACACCTGCTGGTCCTATTTTCAGTCTGCCATCATCCCTTGATCACAGCTCTGATCTGTGTATTCTTAAGATGAATACAACTGCAGTTATTGGAGTGTCTCATATGTGAGTTGCTGTGTTTTTATTTTCAGGGACAGAATGATGCTGCTGAAATTAGAACAGGAAATTTTAGATTTCATTGGTAATAATGAGTAAGTACTGTACTCTCATAGGAAAAAAGAATTCAAGAGTATTCCTGTTTATTTAATAAAGCTACTATTCCTTTCTTCCAGAGTACCAAGAAAAAAGTTTCCCCCAATGACATCTTACCATAGAATGCTGTTGCACAGGGTAGCTGCTTACTTTGGATTAGAGCACAACGTGGACCAGAGTGGGAAGTCAGTCATAGTAAATAAAACTAGCAATACAAGAATGTAAGTGTCAAAGCCTTGCAAAACCCTTTTGATGTAGCTCTAACGCCTGGGATGTGTGAGGCAGTGGTGCTGTAGCAGGTGAGGTCTGTCTCCTCACTGGGAGCAGCCAACAAGGAGAGGTAGTTGAGAGCTGTTCATGTTCTTGCTGTGTAATGATGTGATGTGTTTCATGTTTGAATTCTTTTGGGGAAAGAAGGTTGTTATCTCTGAGTTAAGAAATCTTGTTGCTTTTCTGGCAGAGATGCATTGCTAATTTTGTTTCTGTGAAATACGAATTTATAGCAACTGTTTATTTGTTTAAAGGTTTACACCAGTAAAGTGTACAAAGTGCATTCTTTGTTTCTTTTGGATAGCAGAGCCAGCTCTTATCTAAGAACGGGGTCATTTCTGATTTGGTGAAGGGAGGGGACTTGCACAACTGTGGCTTTTGTATTGTAAAATTCTACTGGGAAAATTCAGCTGTTGAAGTTCTTCTGTTGAAATAATGTTGCTTACAGATCTCTCATGGCCTTACAAATAAACATAGCAGGGAAGACAGACATCAGTGGAAATGTCAGCCAGGTTAACCAGCCATGGTGTGCTGCTTTACTCTGAGGGCTGGGGAGTTCTTGGAGAAACCCCCAGGAAAATCCCTGTTGCAGAGAAGATAGCACTGGGGCCACAGCAATTCTGAAATCTGTGCGGAATTGAGGTTTTCATTCAAGGGACCCAGCTGTTCTCTCCATTCTCTGCACTTGCTCTGTCTCCTCATTCTCTCTCAAAAAGACAAAGGTCTGATGTGTTGACATATTTATGCCACCTAGTTTCCAGTTTTAACATAGAGCATTTGCCTGACACCATTTTTTGTTGGTCTTGAATATGAAAACAGGAGTTTACAGTGCCTGCATATCCTAATCTCAGTCTCTAGGTACACTCTTTGTAGCTTTGGGAGAAAAAAATCTAATTATCCACCCTATTTTAGAGGCAGTAGGACTGAAATGATATGCCACACTGAAATCTCACTAAAGTAAACAGTTTGTCCTTAGAAGTTTTAGAAATATATAAAGAGCCTAAATATATGTTGAATACTTGTATTATTTATGTATGTGTTTTTGCTTTGGCGGTACAATCTATATCTAAATTGACCCAGAAAGCCAAACATTTCAAATCTGTTGCCTTTGCATCTACCAGCATCTCTAGACTGAAGCTTCAGTCTACCAATTCAACTGTGGAATAAGAACTAATGAAAGATTATTTCATTTTTATGCTTTTAAAAGATCATATTTAAATAGCTTGTGGCCTCTGGAAGCCCCTGTAGGTGTAGTTACTAATTAGCAGGCATTTCATCTAACCTGCAGACATAAAGATTCTTGATGTTTTCAATATTCTTATTTTAAATCACTTTGGATACAAAATAAGAATTTAGAAAGAAAACCTTGGAGATCTGCTCCATGTGGAATAAAGCCAAACTTACCTTTTCCTCATAGGCAGGTTCGCGGCTCCCTCGCCGAGCAGGGATGTTACTGACATCAACCACCCAGTGCACACTGGCACGTCTCAGTGGAGTGGGAGTTGGTGATTGCAGGGCAGTAAATTCAGAGACCTTTAAAAGAAAGAGGTAAGACAGTCTAAAGGTTCTCTGAAATGCCTGCTAATTATGTTTGGGCAGCCAGTACCCAATAGGCAGGGCTGGCTGTTACGTAGAAAAAGCTCCCCTCACTCCATCCAGAAGTTCTAGGTAATCATAAATAACAGAAATGGAGAAGAGCATACATTTATTCTGTCCTCTATTAGACAAATATTTCCTGATTGTCTGAGCTCTTCTCTTACGATAGCAGTCATTTTATTATTCAGGTACTTGATATATCTCTTTAATAACAAGGATTTGCAAAATACCACTTTTTCTTTCACAAAATAGACAACATACCAAGGCAATATTTATAATCTGTTGCCTCTCTCTCTATGACTGTGTGAAGCTCTTGCTTGCCTGCATTATACTGTTCTTCTCTTACTCATTTCTACTTAATTTTCTTTTAGAAGTTTCTAAGTTTCTGCTTTCTCCTCTACCTTCTTTCTTCTGTTTTCCCTTGAAATGAACTCCGAGGTATTGCGGCTCTAGCGGCAAACACCTGTCTTCACTCCCATGCATGCCCAATATCCATTGCATGGCACCAGCTGGGATTCAAAAGCACTTCTGATTCCCCAAGGGCATGTGGTTTGCTTCTCACCTTAACTGGGAGTTGCAGCAAAAGCTTTGAAAGGAGGAAGAGGTTTTTAAAAGCAGGTTTGTTATGCCTCAGGACAGGACTTGTCAGGGGTGCACCATATCTTTTCCATTGCCCAGACAGCCAAAATCTATTCTCTCAGAATATTAAATATATTTTAAATTACACCCAAATATATTTCAAGTTTGTTCCACTGTGTGTACAGTATGTTTACAAAACCATAAATGTTTTCTTTGTAACAACTTTTCTCAGACCTGACCAAAAGTTTTGTGAGCATATAAAGGATGAGAAGAGCGATGACTTCCAGAAGCGGTACATCCTTAAGAGAGATAACTCTAGTTTAGACAAAGATGACAACCAGGTAAAGCACACGTGGCTTATTCCTTCCACTTGCTGTGTTTGACTGTGCATTCTTACTGTTTTCCTTTGTAAAATAATACTGTACCACTTAATTTAGATGAGAATACGATTAAAAGATGACAGAAGAAGTAAATCTATAGAAGAACGTGAAGAAGAATATCAGAGAGCTAGAGAAAGGATATTTGCACAAGATGTACGTATCAAAACCAGTCTGTCCCTGTTTTCTATGAACCCTTCACACACATACATGCCCAGGTGGCTTTCCAGGAAACTTTGTTTCTGAGTGGCACTGAGCAGATAGAAGTGTGGCCTGAGTGAGTTTTAAATGATATTGCAGTTACTGAGAAATCTTCTGTTTTCTCTGATCGCTCCTCAAACAACTCAAAAATTGAGTGTTTTCTAGCATTACCTAGTGCAATGCATTCCCCCCTTTCCATTGTTTCGGCCCTCACTGCAATTTAAGTTAGAGTTTTGGTACTGCAATCATGTCAGTTGCTCAGAATAATTAAAAGAAGAAAAAACCCCAAGCAGATTAAAAAACAAACAAAAACCTCTTATTTTCTCGCTTGTATCTATAGCAACCACATCATGAGTGGTAACAGTAAAATGATTTGAGGTCCCATATGTGAAATTCCTGTCAGGAATCTCGCAGTCTGATCTCCTGACTGGAGATACTCTGCAGGACAACATTACAGGCTACAATTCAATTGCAAGTAGTGATTATATTGAGTAAAACAGAACAAATATGTCTTTAAAAATGTGTTACTTTTAATAATCCACTTCTGACATTTACCTGTAACTCTTGCACATCCAAAACCAGATTCTGAAGAGAGTAATGAGCTCTTGAGAGGCTAATTTTTTTTTGTTCACTTTGGTTACAAACAAGAAGAGTAGACTTTTGGAAATAAAATTACATTTTCCTTTTGCATCTTAATTTACTATGTATTACATCTTTAGAAGCTTTGGCCAGATGTTGGGAGTCACAGTTAAGGACAAGATAATTTGGGTCAGGAGCAACCTTTTAGGTCCTGTTCCATGTGCCCTGTAGCTTTCCCAGCCTGGTACCCAGGGCACTGAGCAGTTAGTGCAGCAGCAGTGGCCTCTCCCTCTCCACCCTTCCCAGCAGAAGACAAGGCAGCTCAGGTGCTGTGGCAGCCCTGGGAATCACACACCAGCTGCAAGTGACAGAAGGCACCAAAGGCCCAAGGGAAGAACTGTAACTTCAGAAAAAGTCTGAGAGAAACCAAATGAGCAGCATTTCCTCATGCTGGCTTTGATTTCCTGCACATGGGCCTTTTTATATTGTCTTGTTTCCTCATGGAAACTATCCACCAACAGGTAAAAGTTTTCAGGCAGCTTAAAATAATGAGGGTGCTGTAGAAGTCTGTGTATAACACAGAAGACTCCAGATTGCTGTGTGTTTTGTAGTAGGGGTTCTGGATGCCATTCATATTAATTTCTGCACTTCTTTGCCCCTCAGTCCCTGTGTTCCCAAGAGAATTATTTCACTGATAAAAGGTAAGAAAATTTGTTGTTTAATTCTGTTTTGTGTTCCTATTTTCTTAATAAATATTAAGCTGTCTTATTAAAATGTCAACAGAATCCAGGAGGAAGAAACTAATAGTACCCAACAAAGACGACAGATACTTAGGTATTTGATGCTTTCTTTTAAAAACACAACCCCCAAAGTATTCTGCATGCATCTACCTTTTCTTTGTTTTTTGTTTTCCCTTTTTTGTTCCTTTTCCCTTCTTTTGCAAACGCTGCTTGTGCTAACATCGAGTTTGTAACTTGCAGAATCAATAAGGAGGCATCGGGGAGGTCGGCCAACAGCCACCAGAGCAGCACGGAGACGGAGCCGCGGCCCTGGAGCAGCACGGACTCGGACAGCTCCCTGCGCAACCTGAAGCCCGCCGTCACCAAGGCCAGCAGCTTCAGCGGCATCTCGGTGCTCAGCCGCGGCGACAGCTCCGGCAGCAGCAAGAGCACGGGCAGGCTGTCCAAGACAGGTACAGCAGCCTGGGGGCAGGCTCTGGGGGCTGAGCCGGGTGGGCATGGCTGGAACACCAGGGGAGGCTCCCTGCATCCCTTTCCCTCGGGGTTCAGGGGCTGCACACACGGGACATCCACAGACCCAGCCTAGAGACACAATGTGACAAATGCGGCGAACACTTCTGGCTTTGGAAGCAGAATTTCCAAGTGCGTTGTAGATGGCTTGAAGTTCAGTGCCTTTCATCTCATGCAAAGGGTTTGAAAACGTTTCTACCAGAAATATTTTAGTATAAAATACTTGGGGTTCAGGTCTCCATTTCCAGTTGGGCAAAACTGCATTGCACCATCTTAGGAAATTCTGCACTGCTATCCTACTAGCTCAGATAAAACAGTATTAAAGCCTATGAATTGGTAGTTATTTTTATAGTGCTCTCTTTCTTTTGTTAAATCAAAATGAATATGGCTTAAATGCTTACTTAATTTTTAGAGTGCTGAGAAATCAAATCAGTGGAATGAAGTTCACTGTTTAGTTTTCAAATTCAAAAATGTTGGAGGAAAATATTTATAAGAGTCAGGGTTTCAAAGGGGCTTAATTTGTAATTAATGTGAAAACAAAATCTCAGAAAATATGGGAATGAATCTTCTGTGGGTCAAAAATTAAATTTAGTAAATATTTGTATTTCAAATGCCAACATAATTTGTTCCAGTTGCTAATCTCTGGAGAATTTTCAGGCTTGTAATACATGGGTGTGTTATTGGTGGCCGCTTCAGAATTAGAAACAGAGCTACAAAAAAGCAGAATATAATTGCTTACCTTATTAATATTGGCTTTGATCTTATTTATAAAACTGGTTTCTAAAGAGGGTCTATTTAAATTTTTTGCTTTTCCTTAAACCACTACTACCTTTTAGGTGTATGGCCACACTGCTATATATTAAAGCAGTGAAACAGTAACAAATTCTGTTTGTCCATTGTATACTCGTATAAAAAAAGACCCAAAGCAGTTCAAGGTACTTCTGCTGTAAAACTGTGCCATCATATGGAGTTATTCCATTTAGCAGTGTAGCAATGCTATTTGGCACAGCTTGAAAAGAAACTGCAGCCTGACAATAAAATACATTCTTAGAAATCTTTGTTGGCTAAATTTCAAGGACATAAATGGATTCTTAAAATTTTTGCTGGAGTCTTTATTTTGGCATTCTGAGAATTTGGACATTCCAGGCTGGGAATGCCCAGCTTGATGGTTGTTGCTTCATGCAGTTCCAGGTTGTGGTGATTGGCACCTGTTGAGCTTGGGTTTGTTCACGTTGTTCAGGGATGTAATTGGCTCTGGTTATAGTGGCTTCAGCCTCGTTCTCTGCATAATCTAGAAGTGAACACACTTGGAAATGAATCCAAGTAACTCTGCTCAGGCAATGATGGTTTTACAGAGCTGGGATGTGCTGTCTCACCCAGTTTACAATTAAGAGCTTTGATTTCACTTAATTCAGCAATAAAAAAAGGCCAATGCTTCAAGCTATGCTCTCCACGTAAACACAAGCTGAAGGGTTACAATTAGCAACTTTTATTAGGGATTGCAAAGTAACTTCAAGCAGTGCATACATTCCATCTGAGTGCTTTTTGAGTCTTTCCTCTAGATTGTATAGAGGCTGCTAATGGGGAGTTTGTAAATGTAAACAACTGTATTCTGTTTCCAAGTACTGCAAGTATCATACACTCCTTACAAAGTCTTTACTAAATGGTATACCTAAAGCTCCAGGTGTCAGGTGGTCTGGGAACAGCAGTTCCACAGACCTCTCCCTACTGGACTTCTGGAATATTTCTTTTAGCTGCATGCCTTGGCTTTCAGGAAGCTCAGGGTCTGGTTCTCCACTGCCTTGCAATGTTTATAGTAATTCATATCTGTAAAATGAGTACTGATTTCAATTGGCTGTTTCATCCTCCTTTGAAATTTGAATTGTTGTATAAAGCCAGGCTAAAGCTACCATTTTACCCTCATTACATTTTTTCTAGCTGTATTCTTGATTTTGGCCTGCAAATTGTCAGAGGAGGAAACAGACAGTGTTGAGGGTTTTAGTGCAGTGCAAATTGCCCAGCAGGTGAGTCAGAAGATCTGACCCCCAGCAGTGGAAAGGAGCTGGTCCTTGCTTGCATGCAGGCAGTGTGTGCAGGGCATGAGGCTTTAGCCAGCAAATCCACAGGGACAGTGGGGCCATGCAGCTGCATTCCCTGCACAGCTGCAGGAGCTGGGGCTGGGAGTTCACTGCCTCAGGGCATCCACTCCACCATGTTGCAGTAATGACCAATCACTTCCATGAATTCTGGAGGTAAAATATGCATTTTCTGACCGCATTTTCTGACCAGAAAACCAAGCTTTACTTTGCAGTGCAAAGCAGTGCTGAATTGACCCTTGGTTCACAGAAGGAACCTTGTAATGGTGTTCCAGGGGAGATGGAGGGGAAGTCCATTGACAAGGCTGCTGTTGAATAATGTGCTTAATGCTGAGCTTTCAGGGTGAGCACTTACAAGTGTATATTGTAAAGTGAGCTTGATGTTACTGTCTCCAGGTAAAACCAATTTCTCGTTACTCCTTTCCTAGGTTCAGAGTCTTCTAGTAGTGTAGGGTCCTCCACGGGTTCTCTCTCTCACAGCCAGCAGCCTCTTCCAGTGCCAGCTCTAAGCCAGCCCTCCCCTGGCACGCCTGCCGTGTATCCAACTGTCAGCTCTAGTAACTCTCTTTCATTTGATGGTGGCATGAGCGGGCAAGTGGCACCTGCTGCTGGCAGTAGCTTCTTTCTGCTTCCCTTGGAAGCAGCGGGCATCCCGCCTGGCAGTGTGCTGGTCAACCCTCAAACAGGTTGGTACATGCTTGGGGCTGTCTCTGTTACACTGGGGAACTTGGAAAAAAATGCACGAGTGTTTGCATAAGACTTCATGTCAGTATTGTCCTTTGTCCTTTATTTTCCTCTTTATTTTTTTAATGTGGTTGTGTTCATTCAATGCACTTAATTTAACAAGGAAGCATGACTGGAGGATCAAAGGAATAAGTAAACTCACATGATTTTCTCTAGAAGAGTTTTAACTTATATGTAAAATTTTAATGAGTGACTTGCACAAAGTATGAAAATCATATGATTTACTATCCAGAACACAGAATAACTTAATTGTTTCAGCTTTTTTCAGGAGAGGAAAACGTCCTTCCTCATGCTTCCATAACACAGTTTCAGTGAGGGAAGAGAGCCTGAGAAAAGTTCTTTCAAGTCAATATAAATCCTATCATCCTTAATTTTTTTCGATGCAACATACTCATGTCTCTGTGCTCAAGACTGAGTTAATACAAGTGAAAGAAAGAAGCACAGGATGAAATACTATTTCTAAACTTATCTTTGTCACTTAAAAACAGGATTAAATCAGTGTTGGTGTAATTGGCCAATACTGGTATTTTTTAGGAAGTAGTAGGCAATTCTTACTTCATAATGTACATGCAAAGAGATCTGTAATAACTGGTCTGGATTAAATAATGAGTTAGCATTCTCTGGGCAAACTTTTACTTAAAAATGAGGAAATCCTGAAAGTTTTAACTTACCTTTCATGTAAAAGATCATAATTTTAGGAAATTATATATTTTAATTTTAGTATAATGATTTGTTTTTGTTGTAGAAAAGAAAACACTTCAGAATATATTTACCATCATTCTGTAGATGGACTTGATTATGTTTGAATATAACTGCACATGGTGCTTGAAGCAAAATGTTTCTCATTGGGGTTGTTAAAATGATCATGTAGTAAATAATTTCTTTAACTAGAAGGTATAACATTGAAATAGATAAATTCCTCTTTTTTCTTAATATGAATCAGTTGCTAAAAATTTGGTTACAGATGAGTTGCTGTAGGACTTAATTTTCATTGATAGCCATTGGATTTGGAGGAGAATTTGTCATCTTAGAGCTAAGTTCATTAGTAGTCTTTGGTAATTATGTTAATGTCCAATGAGATTCTAGTAGAAGACAAAGAACACTTTGGGAACAAGGAACATTTAGGTGCAGATAAACTTCAATTTCCAATGTACTCGAATCATTGTATTCTGTAATTGTTCCTCTGGCTTTACTGTTCCAATGCCAGCCAAAGCAGAGATTGGTTCCTCAGTTTCTGACAGAGGAGTCTGTGCCTTGGGAATTAGGAAAAGACAGCTCTAACCCAGCCACTACAAGAAATAAGTGAAGCTCTGGTGATTAGCAGGAAGTAGTAGAAGGAAATAAGAAAATCTGAGTCCCTATTGATGTGAACATTGCCAATGCTTGAGTGTTGAAGATAAATGTCCTAAGCTCAGTTGAGTATCACCTGCTGAGCTGCAGTCCAGCTGCTGTAGCTTATTTTAGCAAGTGTGTTCATGCTCCCTCTGCCATGAATTCCCCAGTCCTTTCTTCAGTAACTGTTCTGCTTTTTATGTTGGGCAGTTACATTGAAGTATGATGGCACCAAGGAGTCTGGAGGAGCATTAGTCTGCTTTGACAGGGTGCAAAGGCTTTAGGCTCAGTTTAAACTTTTCTAGAAAGGATAAGAACATCTTTAAATCAGAGGAGAGAAAAATTTACATCAGTGTTGGGCTCTTTAAGCATCAGAAGAAGCCAATGCAGAACATGTGTCACTATGCAGGTAGGCACAGGTCCTTGCCAGCCAAACTGTTGTGCCTTTGATTTGTTTTGTTTTTTCCCAACCCAGGCACACAAAGAAAATAATTTATATTTATAATTTACTTTTATGCAGTTTATTTTTCAATTCTTTTTCATTGGCCCATTGCTGTAATATTGAGGTTATAAATTAAATTATTAAATAGGAGAATAATTGTGTTATTTATTTTGAAAGCTAAAAGCCAATTAATCTAAGAATAGGGGGAAGAGAGTCCTTTATCAGTAATCTCAGTAGCAGTCATGGGAATACCAGGGCAGCTATTGCTTTATATAGTTTTCAAAAAATATTTGCCTTTAAGCTCTCCTGTGTTCTGACTGGTTTTCAAATTGATAAAAGGAGGTAAACTTTTAAAATATCCTTAAAACAGTATTTTACTAGAGTTTTCCTTTATTGCTCCTGTCATATTCAATCTACTTGGTTAAAAATCAAGATGAGTAGCATATAAGAAATTTTTATGTATGTTTACAACATAAAGACTGGGGTATCTTTGTTCAGCTTCAATGTTTTGGGTTTTAGCTGCATGTAGTCATTGCTGTTACAGTTGTGGTCATTTGGCATGAATCTGTCATACAAACCAGTATGACTTCCCTTACTTTTCAATGTTTTTGCCTGCTGTAAGTATGTGTGTCTGTTTTGTCCAGCTGAGATGGTGCAGCTGGCTGTGTTTGCTGTCTTCCCTGGCAGGTCAGCCGTTCCTCAACCCCGATGGCACTCCGGTTGTGTACAACCCTCCCCTGCCTCAGCAGCCTGTTAGGAGCCAAGTGCCTGGAGCTGCCCCTCAGCCAGCCCTGCCCAGCCCCAGCCAGCACCAGCCCGGAGCAAACCCCGTCCTCTCACAGGTGCACTTGTCAAACACATGCTGGGGACAGCGGGGCTCTTGCTGGGAACAGGGGTGGGGGTGGTTTATTCTGCACAGCATGTCAGAACAGTCACACCAGTAAGGGTAACTGGGCTTTTTCCCTCCCAGTCCTCACAGCTATCAGCTCTGCTCACACCTGAGCATGGTAGGCAGCCTCTTTTTAAAAATACAGAGGAATTTTAGTAGGAAAGTGTTTTGTAACTAAGAAAAAGAGATTCTGCCTTCATCCCTAATTGCACTGTGGAGTTACCCAGGCATTAAAAGCAATAGAGTTGGCAGCTGGGAAGAGTTAATCCAACTGGAACCTTGGGCTTCTTGCTTAGGGTTGTTTCTCAGCCAGATAAATTCCTGGGCTGTACAGCACAAGCAGGAGTCGTGGCACAGTAGGAGTAGCTCAGGACTGGTACAGCATGAACATCTCATGAGTAACACTTCAGCATAGTCTGCTCACAACGCCACACACACGAGTACAGAATGTATTTTATCCTTGTCCTGTACAAGAGTTTAGTAAAATAGGCCAGATTAAAGACTGCCCCAGCCCTAGAAGGAGAAGAAAAGCAAAATGCATGGGCAGGAGAAGGGAGGGTTCTCCCTCTCCACAGCAGCTATTTCAGGTACCAAGGTACTGGCTGTAGCCTCCTGTGGTATTTTCAGATGGTTCTTAAATTTTGTTGAAAAGTTATTTATAGAACTTCATCTAAATAAACCTTTTACCTTTGTTTGTTTGTTTTCCCTGTTTAAACCTGTTCAGATAGCTGGGTATGTCACAGTAGCGCTGGTCTGTTTTGTAAAAGGTCACATTTGTACTCTTTCTAGTTCACAGAAGTGTGTATGTAATATTTGCTATTTTCTTCACAACTTCTGTACTAATTCTCTGATTACTTTCTCAATGGATGCTGGAATTAAACCTGCCTGAAATAGTATGAGCAATGATAACTATCTAGAGAAAATATTTTAGTACTGTTGAATAAATGAAAGTAGTATGTTTGAATCCATGGTTGGTAGTAAATTCATTCTGCCTTTAGATGCTTTGAAAGAACTTGTGTTTAAAATGTGAGTTTTTAGTCTCTCTGAAGGAAACAGTAAATGTTAAATAGAAGCCATTTGCTGACATAGCTAATATAGTGTATAACAGATAAAGCAATGGATGTCTTTTGGAAGACAGAGATATTCAGAGTTACTTTTGTTTTCATTCTATGCAGTCTTAGGCTTAAGCAAAAAGAAGTATCCATTCTGTTTCTGAGATTGGAGTGAGTTGCTCTTCTGGAGCACAGTTGCTTTTCTCTGTTACAAAAGACTTGTTTTCAGTTCTCTGACTCTGGTGTTAACCTTGTTCATACCGCTGTTGTTTCTGCAGCCTCTGCGGGCTCTGCAGCCTTCCTCCCAGCCTGTCCAGTACTCTGCAGTGTCGTACCCACCCCCGCTCCTGCCAGCCTCCTCTGCACAGCAATACTCTGTGGTATTTCACCTTCTCTTCTCTGCTCCTTGCACAGCCTCCTCTCTGCTGGCTGCTGGCCTCTGCTTGGCTCTTTGAGTGCTGTGGCACCAGGGTAGTGACTGGCTCTCAGTGACACAGCGCCCGAGAGCCCGAGATGGGAACATTTCCTCTTCGGCAGGAATATCTGCAATTAAGGCTATATCTCTATATTTTGAGATACATTATTTTCCTTTCCCTTTGTAAAGAAAGTTTTTCAGTGATGTTTCATTAGCCAGTCAGTACCTTTTTATGTCTCTGGATTAACCTCTTTCCATTGCTTCTTTCTGTTTCCTTGTCTGTTCACTCTTCTGCTGAACCTTAATACATTCTGAGGGATCAACTGCTCTGATTTTTTTCTGGTTTCCTTTTTGTAGCCTCTGGTAGAACTTTCAACACTCCCACTTCTCTAGTATCCATTATTTAATAAGTAGAATTAGAAAGTAAAATATCTTAGTCTATCAAAAACCAGGAAAAAAATAAGAAAAGCCACACAAAGTGAAACTGAAACTTAGTAAAGGAGAGTTGTTATCCAAGGGAGAGTCTGAACTAGGTTAGATTGAACTAGGGAGATGTGAACAGGTCAAAGTCTGCTCTGATACTCTGCTGAGTGCATGTTTGAGTTGAGTTTATGTGGCAAGGTTTTGGAGCAGGGAGCTGCAGGGATGGCTTCTGTGAGAAAAGCCTGGGAGCTGCCCCATTGGACAGAGCCCATTTCAGGCAGCTCCAGGGCTGACCCTGCACAGCCCAAGCTGAGTCAGGCATTCACACTGGCGGGGAAAAGGGTGTGAGGGAGAAACAGCTCCACAGATGTCAAGGCCAGAGGGAGGAAAGCAAGGAGGTGCTCCAGGAGCAGAGCCTGCAGCCTGGGGAGGAGACTCTTGTGAAACAGATTCTCCTCTTGAAGCCCATGAAGGACTCTGGTGGAGTAGATATCCACCCTGCAGCCCTTGGAGCATCCCACAGGTGCTCTGAAGGAAGCTGGAGCCTTCAGGATCAGGTTTTCTGGTAGGACCCACACTAGAGCACTTCATTCCTGAAGGATTTCAGCCTTTGGGAAGAACCCACATTGAAGAGGTTTGTGAAGGATGGTATCCTGTGGGTGGGACTCCATGCTGGAGCAGTAGGTCGATGACTGAGGACCAATCACATGCCCCATTCTCCATCCCTTGTGATACTTGGAGGAGGAGGTAGAAGATTAGGGAGTGAAGCTGAGTCTGGGAAGAAGCAGTGGGGTTGAGGGAAGCTGGTTTTAGTTTTGTTTTTACTTCTTACTCTCCTATTCTGCTATTAATTGGCATAAATAAATTAATCTTCCTGTGGTGGTCACTGATGAATGATTTTCCTGTCCTTTTCTTGACCCATAAGTCTTTATCATATTTTCTCCCCCGTGACTTGGGGGGCACTTAGGAGCCAGCCAAGCTTAACTCATCATAGTGTTGTACGGCAGCTAATTTTCAAAATTAATCAGAAATGTCTTATAATAAATACAATTTAAGCTGAATTAAAAATGGATGCTTCTTCTGAAGTTAATTGTGAGTTTGAATGGGTGCTGAAGCAGAAAAGGAAACTCCTTCCAGTTTGTAGTAATTTCAAAGCATTTCACATTCAGGAAATTGGTTCCAATACTAAGTGCCCTGGCAATTTCAAAAATTTATTCCTGCTGATGGTAACTTATGTAACATAATGAAAAGGACTGATGGTCTTGGATTGCAGTCCAAGTATAACACCTCTGTTGGCACCAGGAGAGTGCTTTCTCCATTTATTGGGAATGCCATGTTCCAGGGCTGAATCCTGCTTGCACCATACCTGTCACTGCAGGACAAAGTGACCAGGTCAGACTTTACTTACACTGATAGTGTAAGAGATCAGTGTGGTGTGGCTTGGCTTTGTCCTTCAGACATATTTAGAGCTAAGATAAACTCACATGCAGTATCTCCTCTTCAAAGTCAGGATTTGGAAAAGCAGAATGTAAAATGCAATGTAGAAAAGCATTATAGTTGCATTTAATAGGCACCATTAAGGAATGAAATATCAAAGTCAGATTACTACCTAATGAAAATAAGGCTTTTTAAGATGTACTAAATACATACAAAAGGTATACTAAATTTTTAGGTGCAAATTCATATTTCCGACAGTAATTAATAATCTTTCACCTAGAAACTAAAAAAACCATAACATCATCAAATGTGAATGTAGCTAATCAGTAAAAGATGGAGCTTGCACTTACTTTCTCTTGATTAATTCCTGTCTTCTTAGGATGATCTGAGACCAAGTGGTCTTGAAATAGTTTTAATGTACCTGCATGTTTGGAGAGTCCACTTTCCAAGTATGAACCAAATCTTCCTGTTTAGCACAAAACACGCAGTACTAGTTAGTGATCACTTCTAATTTTCAGGATGTTGCTAATTTGATGGTGAATTGCTTGCTAAGAAAAGGAACTTGGGGATACAGTAACAGAAGTTTCAGGTTCCACAGGACCCCTGCAGTGCAGAGTGCCATCAGTGGAGTCCTTTCAGATGTTAATCAATAAAACACAGAGGGTGGCCACTGGAACACATTTCTCGATGTTGTTACTTGATTTCAGACTAAAAGATAATTAATCTCTGCATGTAGGATAATAATTACATTAGAGGAATGTACCTTTTAACTCAGGAGTAGAACCTCATTATGTTAAACTCTTAAAAGCAAAAATTTACTTCAGCAATCCTCATGCATCCTGCTATTTTAACTGGGGTTAGATGTTTTCACTCAAGTTTGGAGTCCAATCAGAAGATGCTAGTGACACAAATTCTGAACTTTCTTTTTGACAAATTAATTCTCACAAGTAGAGAATTCTACTTATCTAAGTAGGTAGAGGCAGATGTAATCCAAAAGGCAGAATATTTGCAGTGAAAAGAGTGAAGTCTGAGCATGGATGTTTTCTCCTGCTGTCAGTCCTGAAGATAATTTGCTACTGTTCCATCTTCTTTGCTGTCGTTCTCTGGCTGCTGTTGTTGCTGCTGCCCGGTCCTGTGAGACGCGCTGTCCGAAACTTACCGAAGTGTTTGGCTATTTTGTTTCTGTTTCCTTGAACGTGCATTTGCAAATGTAGCTTTTCCTGTTTTCCCCCCGCCTGCAGCCAGACACCCTGGGATCGCAGTTCAGCCACCTGAGCCTGGCGCGGCAGCCCCCGGCCGAAGGCGCCGATGCCGGCCCGGCGCTGTTCCAGCCCGGCGTGGTGCTGCAGCCCCCGCAGCCGCCGGGCTTCATCCTCACGGCCGCGCCCGCAGCGCCGCCCGCAGCGCCAGCCGCGCCCGCCCCGCCCTACTCGGGCCCCGGGCACGCCGTGGGCCAGCCCGTGCTCCCGCAGCAGGGATTCGTGCAGCAGCCCGTGCCACAGGTACCCTGCGGCCTCCCGACAGCTGGGGGAAACCGACCCTGCTCTTCTGCTCCTGGCCTCTTCACGCTGCCTGGGGCTGCTCTGCTTTTGTGCTGGGGTTGGGGTCTTTTCTGGGTATGTGTTTTCTAATGAATGACTTAAATGTTTGACAAGGAAAGTAGAGAAATTGGCTGTTAAAGAGGGAACTTATGTAGTATAAGGGATTTTTGACTCGCTGCATTATTTAACGTCTGTTGCGCCTTTTAATAAATTCTGCTTCTTTCTTTTATGGATTTTGCATTTAGATGTCTGCCTTCCCTAAAGCTGCATGCAGGTGGTGACGCTGTGGTTGTTGCTTTGCAGATGCCCCCCTGTTACTGCACGCCCAGCCAGTACCCGCCCTCCGGCCAGCAGTACCGCCCTGTGTCTGTGCATTACAGCGCGCAGCAGAGCCCGGCCCTGCCCCAGCCCGCCCAGCAGACAGGTTTGTTCAGCTCTTTCAGCACCTCGTTAGAGCACTTGGGGTGGCTTTTCTCCCGCTTTTTCATTTTAAACTTTCTGTGCTGTAAAATTTCAAATAAAGTAGATGGACAAATGTAGAATACAAAGTGTAACTAACCTAAGGTGGAAACATTTCAGGCACTCGTGCATGAAACTTGGGATTAAAGCCATCCCTTTGGGTGGTTCATGCTGTAACTTTAATTACAGGGTTTTTACAATGTAAAAGTTAATAATTTTAAAAATCTGTAACTTAATAACTAACAACTTGATTCACTTGCAAAGTAAGATAAATTAGTACCTTTAAATGATGTAACATTAAAGAGATGTACCTTAACTGAAAGCTCTGAGCTAAAGATCCTAGTCTTAGATGCTGTGGCATGAAAAGAGTGCTGTGCAGAATATATAGGTGATACTGTTTGACTCTGCCTTTCTGTCCTATGATTAAAGGTATCAGGGTATTGGATGGAATATATAAAGTGATTACCTATTTTAGTAAAGACTTTTCTACTGACTTACCCTTCTATGTATGTTAGCAAGCTTCATTTCTCCTTCCTTTCTTCTTGTCTTTTTTTTTCCTTACAGATTTTAACTGTAGGCTACCATTATTCTCACAATCTGTACTTCTAAATACTGTTATGACTTCTTCAGTAAGATTTGTATTCCTGAAACAAATTTACTTCTCAGTAATATCTTGACTCATGGTCAAAACTTTCAGAAGTAACTAGTGATGTTTGGAGGCAGAGATCCTTAAAGACCAGGCTTTTATATCAGCTCTCAGTTGAATACATAACATCCTTCTGAGTTTCCTTCAGGAGGTTCTTTTTAATTCCTTCCCCTGCCCCCTCTATGCTCTACAGAAACAGGATGGAAGATGAACTTTTACAAATGTTAACTGGATTTATTTGTCAACTGTGAAGCAGCATGTAAGAGGGATAACTCCTCCTCTGCACTTCTTCTAGGAAGTGTTCCAATAGTAGCAGCACTTGATGGAGTTATTCAGGGTTCAGTTCACAAAGATTTTTTTTCAAAGGAAAACAATTTACTTGGTTTTGCAACTTGTGTTATCCACTGGTGTTAGAGATGTGTTACCCAACTGTATTACACAACCTGCTTTCCTTCCTCAGAATTTTTAATACCTAGACTACTTAATAGCAAAAAGTCTGAGGCTCAAGGGGGATTACTTCCCACTGTGGGGACACCCTGTGTGAGTAGCACACAAACTCCCCAACTCAGAGAGCTCAGTGTACATTTGTACCCAAACAAACCAGTCTGAATTGGAAAGCATGGGGTGATAAGGTGACAAGGGATGAACTGGTTGCTGTTAGGTAAGTTCCTTTCCTGTATGTTTTTAGCTCTTTATATTTTAACTGAATTTCACTGCCTGTGGGTGAAAAGTGTCAGCAGATAAACTCCCCTCTCTGTGGTGGAAGAAATAAAATAAGCAAGCTGTGCAGACAGCTGCTCTCCTGCTTTGATCATGTGCCCTGTACCTGAACTCTGACATCAAGGTATCATGTTTAGGTGGCATGGGGATGGTCCAGCCAATAATTCTATTCAGTGCTGGGTTACTTGGTGTTTACCAGCACTAATGGGAGAATGAAGGATCTTACCAGAAACTGCATAATTAGTGTTGACTGAAAATCTCCAAATTGCTTTCCAGCCATTGCTGGTTCTCATTTAATGCTTTATAGGAAACTTGAATCAGCATTTTAGAAACCAATGGTTCCATGTCTTGTTATGTGTTCTGGATACACCTCATAAGATGGTGTATTTGAAAATTCTCTCCCTTGTCATTTATTTTAAATCATTGATATTTGTATTAATTTGACATAAAGCTACATCTGAAGTGGTTGATGCTTATTAGCAATGTGTGGTTTTGAGACAAAGTCACCACATTACTTGGCTCATACAGCAAAGTGGCTGGGCAAAAATGAGAGTTACAAATCTTGCATTACATAGAAGCCCTGGGGGTTGTTCATCTCAGGAAGTGGTTACTAACTATGAAATAACTTTGCAAACACAAATTTAGATAAAAGATGACAGCTTCTGAGAGCGTGGCAACTGCAGCCACTTCTGGTCTAATGCTGAGGAGTGGCCTGACTTTATTGATGAGCTGTTGGATTCGGGGCCGTAACACTGTCTGAGAGGTTTACATTTCTCACAGTGAACCGGTCTCTTTTTCAGCTGCTTCCTGGCTTCCTTTTTAAAGGGGTTTCAGGTGAAATATTTTGGGGGGTTCACTTTTAATAAAGATGCTTTTGTTGCCCGAAAGATGTTGGGAGAAGAAAACTCTCCTTAAGAAAAAAAGCACTTCCAATTGCCATGTTAATGTGAGCCCAGTTACCATGAGACCTAACTCCAGGTTGTTTAAAAATCCAGTCTGAACTACAGTTCCTGTAGGAACATCAGCTGCAGTTCAACTGGCTTCTGCTTCACAAGCCAGGGATAAAACTACTCCAGTTGCAACAGTAGCTGTAGCTGCAATAGTCATAACCAAGCTCATCAACTCCCAGCTCATTAATTAAGTGCTTGTACTTGCTTTTCTGTTCTTCAATAAACACTGTTTCTCACTCCTAATGCATTATTCAAAAAATGTATTTCTATATTCTGCGAGTTAACTTTTCTTATCTTAACTGTGATTTATTTTGAATTATGTAAATATTAAGAAACCTGCTCCTATTTTTACCTCCAGTTTCAGAGTCTTTCTGTGTAATGGGGCAATCTGCTGTGGCAGGTGTGGGGTTTGTGCTGAGTGCTGCATTTCTGTCAGCCCACTCTATGCAGAGGTGAAACTGCAGCTAAAAATAGAGCATTCTTTGGAACGCTCTGGGGAACCTTCGTGGCAGCCAATTTGTATTGTTCCAGTTCCCTCTGCTTGCAGAATTGATTGTAACTGTCTCTGCAAGTGCCAGAAAAGGCTGCAGAGCTACTCACGGGTCCATTGCAGTTTCTGGGACATGAGGGGTTGAGGCTGCAGGTGCATTGTCACAGCACAACCTCCCATTCTGCTGCTTTTTAGGGGCCACAGGCTACTTTATAACAAAGTATGTTAAAGTATTTTGTGTGTTACAGATATGAAGGGCATTCTGTGCACAGTTTAAACTTCAGTTATTAAAAATTCTAAGTACTAATCCTACTTCAAGCATGTATTGTTCTGAAGTTTTGTCTAGCCCTCTGAAAATATTTATAGTGTTGTGTGTTTCTAATGAATAGCTGTCTTGGCTTTAACAAATTGAATCTTCTTCCCTTTAATTTTCTGAAGCAATATTTGATAATATGAACAGTCTTCTTTTGGTGTTCATTGTTGCAATTTCTATGGAGAGCCTGCTGAGGCTGTTAGTGCACAATGTTCATTGTACTGTGTGGACAAAATCAATGAACATCAGAGGGTGCTGCTCACAAAAAGGTGTTTTATGTTAACTGCATTACTTTCAGAATAGACTGAGCCTTTTTTTAGCACAGTTTAAAGAAAACCCAAGGGAGTTTTTGCAGCTAAATTTGCTCTATTATAGTTCCTTGCCAAGGTAGGGAGCATGGGGAATGTCAAGGTCAGTGGGCTGTGAATGTGTCCAACTCAAACACAGACTCTTCTTGCCGTCAGTGCATCTTGACAAGCCCAGTTTTGTTATTCTGGAGGGATAACTGGCTTTGTCTCAGAAACACTGACTGTGTGGGGTTTTGCTGATGTGGTAAGTAGTGCACACCTGTATGATGGAACATGAGAGAAAAAGAACTTTGTTCTGCATGTGTTTGGGTCATGGTAGCAGTTACCTGTGAAATGCTTTTTAAAAAAAGAGGAAAGGGGGAGTTTAGGTTGGACTTTATAAATGCACAAATTTCCTGTTCGGCATTCATGCTCGGGGTGTTTTGGTTTGGGTTTTGGGGCTGGGTGGGGCAATTTTTAGGCAATTTTTGAAAGATAGAAGACCAGTTTAAGCAATAATAAATTGTTTTAGAGACACTATAGAGGGGTGAATATGAAATTCTTTCTTTGTGTTGCATCCCTAAGAAAACTTTGAATATAAAATATCTTCCTCTATGTGCCAATATGGCTTGAACTTGAAAGATTTTTCTCAGTCCCCAGCTGGTTTTAGCATTACAGATTTCAGAAGAATTTGCCCCTTTGCACACAAGCCTTATGCAAATTTTCCTGAAGTCTGATTTAGTTTTGAATTGCAGTCAAGATGCTCTGACCCCTGGGGCACCTGAGGTCCAAGCTGAATTTTGCATATGTAGAATTTTCAAACCGAAGTACCTGGAATGGCCTTGTTCACAACACCAGACAATGAACTGGGTTTGATCCTGTCTAGCATGCTTTGTTCAAGTGCTTCCAGCTTCCACCTGTCAAATCAAGGTGTTGATGCATGTAAGCCAGAGTGTAAATGAACAGTGCACGCATGTGGGAGCAGCATTGCCAACAGTATGGATGATATTTCATGCTGAATCCAAATGAGTAAATCTCTTAATTATAATGTTGGCTTCTTTTTATATGCATGATAAGTTCAACTGTTGTGAAGCTGCCAGATTAAACAAGCCATTAGAAAATGCTACACATGTATTTTTGAATAGGCAGCTATGCTTAAAATATGTTCATTATTTCAAAGTAAGATTTAAATGTGTAATTTCAGGTTACCAGATTTTGCCCAACCAGCAGCAAAACTACCAGGGTTTAGTTGGAGTTCAGCAGTCTCAGAATCAAAATCTAGTCAGTGGCCAACACAACAACATTGGGAATCAAATTCAAGGTGTGATTGTTCCATATCCCTCAGTGCCATCTTATCAGGTGGGTAATGTATTCATACCTTTCCAATGACTCTTCTGTGGGTTTGAGTGTTGGGGTTTTCTTTAAGTCCTTTGCTTTATGGTAGAAATGGTAGAAAGCTGCAAGCAGGTGCCAGAGGTGACTTTGGGGACAGAAGCTAAAGATACAAACCCACAACTGAAGTGAGAAGAAACAAGAACTTGTCACAAGTGCACAAGTTCTAGTGCTGTTAAAAGCAAGTGCTGCATCAGTTGCAGTTCAGAGGGTGGGGAAGAAAAGCTTGGGAGGTTTCCTTCCCACCCCACTTTCTATTGTAGAGAAAATACCTTGTTAATTCATGGAGTCCATTGGAGCCAACATTTCCATTTGGAAGGAAGATTTAAGGATTTTACTTTTAATATGCTGTTGTTACTTTAGCTACTGTTACCACCATTATTCTGGATTTAGAGAATTCCAGAAGGTATTTCAGTTTCTGAGGTTATTTTAAAATTCTAATATCAACTGGGTGATGGTAAGATGCAGAAGCATTGTCTGCAGGACACAATCTCACTGTGTGGCCCATTGCAGGTTTCGGTGCCTCAAGGTTCCCAAGCAGTGCCCCAGCAGACATATCAGCAGCCTGTTATAATTCCCAGTCAGTCCAGCCAAGGACTGCCCAGCACAGGAATGCCAGTCTACTACAGTGTCATTCCATCAGGTCAACAGAACAATCTAAGGTGAGTTTAACTGGTATTCATTTAACTTAGTGCCTTTGATAAAAGTGACAGGATCTGGTTTTAATACTGCAAATATTAAAAATATTACTTTACAGGCATTCTATTTATTTTTTGCTCTTATGCAATTAAGTGACACAAGCAGTGCTGCTTTAACTGTGACATACTTGTTGGACTGGAAAACATTGTCTCCATAGCACTTTCAGCAATACTTTACTGCAGTTCCACCTCTTAAATTTTCTGCATTCCGTTTCTTACCCAGGAGACACCAGTGTGCTCAGCAGTTCAGTCTTTCTGCAGTAGTATTTGAGATGACTATCCATATTCACTGCTTTTGACAAAGATACTACATTAATAATGTGTAGAGGAAAAATAATATGAATCCCAGAAAAAGACTGACTTATTTTTCGGAACTTTGCATGGAAAAGATTTAGCTTACTTTGTATTGTAGATGAGGCCTGCTGGCACCAAGCTGGGTGTGAAACAAGTATAGAAACTTGGCTTTTGTTTGATAAATAACTTTTTTTCTTTCCTTTTTTTTTTTAACCTACCTTGGTAGCAGCAAATTGGTCTGCATGTACAGCCCTCCCTGAGTATACATCTGTGCCCCCAGAGCAGCCTATTTGAGAACAGATAGGCAAGTACCTAGGAGAATTCATTAGCATTCATGCTTCTTACAAATTTCTCTTTCTCAAGTTTTTTTGAACTTTCAAATGTGCAGCATTTAAAATTACCTGGGAGCTTTTAAACATGCAGCAACAGTTTGAAGCTTGTTCATCCTTTTGAGAGTGCAGGCCTCAGTAGTATTTGTGTCATCGCCGCATGGTTTTGTCTACATAAATCTGGATTCCTGTTCTTTGTATCTGAAGGTTTTTTAATCCTTTTCTGTTTTATATTTGAGATTCAGTGAAGTCACAGGTAGGCATAATTCCAGACTTTTCTTGAATTAAGTTTGGTTGCTTGATCTTTTGTGTAATTTAGAATGTCCCTCTCATTTATTAGGAATTCAGAGCAAACTAGCAGCCAATGGCAGCATTTGCTTTCATCAGAATAGTTATGCTGCAGCACTTGAACAAGGAAAGCAGAGTGCTGTTCTGCAGGAGCTGAGTGTCAAGCCTTCAGGTCACTGCTGAAAACTAGAATCAGTAGGCAGATCAGAAGCTGTGTGAAAGCATCTTTGTTAGTTTTCACTTGGTTTTGTCTGCTTTAATGGAAGGAATCTTTAAATTCAAATTATATAAGTGACCTATGGGACAAAGGATGGAACAAACTTTTGACAACATAGGTAAAAATAGTAGGTCCAAGAGGACGAAACCTACTTTTTTTTTCCGCAATCTGAAGGAATTGTTTTACTCTCATAATGATTATTTGTTAGTACAGGATTCTGTAGGCACTGTTCTGATTATGGCCCACCAACCTGATGTTCTGGCTGAGCATTAGTTGTAAAATGAATAGAATCTATGTCTGTTACTTGGTTTTCTGAAAAACTACCTGGCATAAATCAACTTTTAAAGTTAGCCTTTTCCTACATTTTGCAAGCAGCTGAATGCTTGGTTATCCCCTGGAGTCCTGTTCCCTCTCCCACCCCCCTCTGGAAAAGCCATGTCCCCTCTGGGCTGGGGCAGAGCTGTCCTTGCTGTGCTGCCCCGGCTGCCCAGGGCCAGCCCCCAGCTGAGGGATTGCATCCCAAATCTCATGGCAGGGCTCTGGGATCTCGTAACCGACACTTAATTCTGCTGCAGTGAGCAAGACAACAAATTGTCTTTTTTTTATTATTATTATGCTGCATGTCTTTATGCTGATACAGAGCTGTGGACACAAAAATAGAATATCAAAATAGGTGAATTAATACAGTTTCTCAGTGTAGGCAGGGCACGTGTTTTTGCTAAGGAAGAGGTGGGAAGCTTCAGTCTTCTGAAGAATGAATGAATTCAGGGTAGGTAGGAATGTTACTGATTTAACATTAACAAAAGCTCAGTGATTTGCAGTACATGTACACAGCAAATGCAGAAGTCGTGATTAAATAAGTGCAGCATGAATGCCTGTTAGTCATGTGCTTTTTTGTTATTACAGTTCATCTGTGGGATATTTGCAGCCTCCTGGATCAGAGCAGATACAGTTTCCTAGAACATCATCACCATGCAACTCACAGCAGCTTCAAGGACAGCAGTGTGCAGGTTGGCAGAACAAAGTTTTTATTGATAAGCTTTAAAAATGTCTAGCTATTATTATGCTGGGTGATTGGATATTTGCTATCAAGGGTTTGATTTAGAATTAACTGCTGTATTCTATTTCCTCTTTTGTTCCATTTTTGAATTTATTTTCCATTTTTAATGGAATAGTCTGCTGAAGCAGATTAATTTGAAATCTCAATTGTTTTATCTTTGAAATATCTCAAGTTACTTCTTAAAATCCAATACCATACATCATAATACCTTGCACATTTACTGGGGGTTTAAGACAGACATGGGAACCATACATTGGCAGAATCACTTCCATCCTTTTCTGAATAGCCAGATGGGTGTGAAGACTTTGAGATTTGGGTTTCTGTTTGACAGAAGGAGTGAGGTACATTTTGGAAGCAGCATAATTGGCTCTTCTACTCAAGAAGCATTCTAGATTTCAGGTAACAGAGTAGGAGCAGTGATTTTCTTGAGAGGAGTTTGAAATCTGAGCATTGTGGGGTAGCTTTTTGACGTGCTGGAAAGCTGAAAGTACTTCAGAGCTGTGTGGGGTGTTTTGTTTTTATGGTAGCCTTATTTACTGCTTTTACTTCCATAGTTTATAGCAACCATTCAAGTCAGAAGCCATCACCTCCTACATTACTGCCACCTTCATCCAAGTCAAAGCCACAGCAGGCTGCTTCCATTGTGCACTACAGCATAGTGTCTCCACCCTCATCATGTAAAAGTTCACCCACTGGTCTTTCCATCATGCAGCCAAAAAAAGGTATATTTTATTGGGGTTTTCATCTAAGCCATTCTGTCTAGAACATGCTGTAAATTTTCAGATTGGTTTCATGGTCAACTGCTAGAACAACTGCAACTTGAGTGCCATCTCTGATTTTTTTTTTTTAATTCTTTGTCTGTATTGCTATTATTGTATCTTTTTAAATGATAAATTGGAATTTAAGTGAAACAGTGGCTCATAGGGGCAGCCAGGAGGCCACCCTCAGCAGGTAAATGTTACTCAGCAGAAACATTTAAGTCAGGTTCAGAAGGTTTTGATCTTCAAAATACTTGGGTAATTTTTAGAAGGTGTGTAAACAGAAGCCCCAATGTGTTTGAAAGCAGTGTTACATAAATCTTGTCAATCCATGAAACCTTTATAAATATTAATATCCAAACACTTAAAACTCGAAGTTCCAGCCATAAAATTGATGATGAACTGGTCAGGAAAATAAGAGCACTAGGGTTAGCCACCAAGCAAGAGATTACAGAACAATCCTGTGACCACAGTGGCACAGGCTTTATTTACTATTAGGGAATTTGATACATTAAAGACTTGCTTGGTAAAAAAGGGATAATCTCTAATTCTACTATCTCAGTATTTTGCAAGCAAGCACTAGATTAAACAACCCTAGATCAATGACCTAGATTCTGCTACAGATGTGGTGTTTCTTACAAACATTTATCTTTAAAGTGTTTTTTGAACCTGTTTATTAGTAAATAGATAACATGCAGTTAAGTGGCAAGATAGCTGGATTAGCAGTTCATGGGCAGGTTTGGTTTCCATTTTGCTTCAAGTTTGTTTGGCTTTAATTCTGGAAGATTGTCATTTCAGAATGTCTAAAGGGGGCCTTGCACTGGTTTGTTTTTCTGCCCTCTTGTCTATCCTGGAACTGCTGGTTTTGTGCAGTTTTGATGGCCTAGTTCAGACCTGTAAACTGGGGGTTAAGGAAGTTCCAGGAAGGAGGGAGCCCTCTGTGAGGGAGCAAATTCTGGGGAATAAATCAAAACTTGTGTTTTTCAGCAAGTGAAGACATTGAGATGCTGAATGAAGGCCTCTGAGGGAGGGCCAATGAGCACATCCACAGACAAGCAGCAGAGTTGTGTTACAGGGAGCCAGACTGTAAAGCTGGGGAGGCTTTGAAGGATTCCTGGGTATCCCTTCTCATGGGATTTGACAGGTCATAAAGTGTCTGCAAACTGACTTATGCACTGTATGACACTTCATTGTGTCAGGACACTTGGTTAGGAAAAGAATTCCATTTATTTTCATTTCTGAAATGAAGGGGAATTAGAAGCAAAAGAAAAAACACGATTTTCTGAATGTATAAAGGTTTCTTTTGCAGTTTAAATTGCATTTTAGATAGACACTCTTTTAGAGATGGTGCTGTAGATGTTTCTGAAAGACAAACATGTTTTTGTTGGGTGTTCCATTCTCACAGAACAGAGAGAGAAATCAGAAAGAGTATGCTAGAGTGTTGCACAGTGAAACACTGTATATAAACCAGTAAGCTGTAAATTCTTATAATTTATAAAATATATAAATATATGCATATAATATTAAAATGAACCCCATTTTTGTGTGTTAGATGTAGTGTGTATAAGGGTGTTTGGTATATCTCAGGTTTACATATAGGGACTAGATAAGTTTATGGCTTTACCAGTGGAAAACATTTGTGTTGTATATTATTCTGATTGTGTAGCAGTCATAAACAGAGTTGTATTTTATTCTGCTGTGCAACACAACAGAAATATTCACAATGTGGCTTTTGCAGGGACTCCTTAATTTATATCCTCTGCTAAAGCTGGCCAGATACCTGATGGTACAATTGCAATCTGTAACACCTGGGTAAAACTTCTTGCATTAAAAAGAAAGTATAGATGTGAAAACATTGTTAATTCAGTTAGCCATGTAATAAATATTTCCAAATACAATTTACAAAAGCTAGTGTAGTTTTAATGTTATGTGTTTCTTATTCTACATAGTTTGGTTTGATTTTTGAAGAAGCCTCTTTCTTTTTGTGGAGCCCAGGGGTACTGAAAACAACAGCCCATTATAAAATACACCACCAGATGAATGCATTTTATAATCTGTACCTTGATGCTGTGACGTGGCAGTAAATGGAGAAGACTGCAGAATCCTGCTTTCTGGATGATTAAATGATGTTTAAACTCTGCGTTTTAATCATGGTTTCTGAGAAATATTGTAAAAAGTGGGTAGAGCAGAGAAGGAAATTGCAAACAACCATTTACAAATAAAAAGGGCATTACTTAAATTACTTGGGGCAGAGGGGGGAGATGGTTTGTCTATTGGGCAGCCTCTCCTTACAGCTCCTGTGCAACAGTGCTGCATGTTGAGGTGTTCTCCCCTGACTCTGGAGTTTCTGTGGCTGCCACAGGACACAAGTGGGACAGGGTGTGGGGATCAGTATCTGCCCACAAAAGCATGCCTGGGGAGAACTTGTGAGGGTAAGCCTGCCTAGACTAAAGGTTGATCCCAGGTCTTTCAGATCTATGCCATCGTATCAGAGAAAACATATGGAGTCTGCATTGCTGCACATCATATAAAACTAGGAAATTTCTATTTTTCAATGAAGCATATTTTCACTTAATATCACATTCTGCAACACAGTGCTCTGGAAGAAGCTGCAGTGAATGTTGAATACTGTCAACTACTAAAAAATAGTGATTTCTTTCAAAAATATTCTCAGTAATGAGTTTCAGTGGCTCCACTATCTCCGTTTCTGGGAAGCCCTCTCTAAGTTAGCTATTGCAGGTGTAGCTGATAACAGACACAACACAGTGCTCTGATAGAGACTGCGGTGAATGTTGAATACTGTCAACTACTAATAAATAGAGTGATTTCTTTCAAAAACATTCTCAGCAATGCGTTTCAGTGGCTCCACTATCTCCTTTTCTGGGAAGCCCTCTCTAAGTTAGCTATTGCAGGTGTAGCTGATAACAGAAGCTACTGCTCCAGTGTTCTAGAATCAGCAGCTTCTTTAGGCAGACCTGTTCCCAGCGTTATTCCCCTTCTCGCGGTGCCTCCCGCGTGCTGACGGTGCCCGTGGCTCCTGTGTTGCAGCCGCGGCGCCGCCGCCCGCCGGGGGCGTGCTGATGATGCAGCTCAGCGTGCCCGGCAGCGCCGCGCCGCGGAACCCGTCCCCGCCGCAGAGGAAACCCGGCAAGTACTACTGTGAGCACCCCCGCGGGCACAAGGCCACGGAACTCAGCACTTTAGACGGAGCTGCACAGGTAGGAGGGGCTGGCTTGCTTCTCCAGCATGACTTAAATATGCATGAATTCTATCTTTTATCAGGAGTTATTTTTGGGGAATAAAAATCTTGTTCTCATTATACTTACTAGAGCCATTTTATCTTCGTTTTCAAAAGTTCTTTCTGGGAATAAAAATCTTGTTCTCATTATACTTACTAGAGCCATTTTATCTTCATTTAAAATCTTGGAAGGCTGTGGGTGCTGTTCAGTTTGTTCAAGTAGCACTTTCTGAAGCACTGAGGTGTTGTTTATTCCAGCTGCAGCACAGTCCTCAGCTGGGCAGCCCTGCCACCTCACCGGCCCAGTCACCAGCACCAGCCCAGCTGTCAAACATGAAGAACATCCGTCCCACACTGACACCTCTTTCCATCGTGTCCCAGTTTTCTAGACCTTTTGTCCCTGGACAAGGTATAGTTTTAGTTAACTAAAATCTGTGTGTGATTTCTATTTGAATGTTTTAAAACACAAGTTATATGAGGATTTTCTGATGAGTTCTGGCTCACTTTAGTAGTATTGCTGTTGAAGCAGAATCACCAAAATTACTCACTCAAACATAATTTAAAATTTCACCTTATCACTCTGCACTGGTACTGTCCCCCACATCTTCAAAGACTTCTCATCTCCTCATTAATGTGTTCCTCTAGCACACTGGCTTTCTCATATTTTGACATTTCCCATTTCAGCATTGAAAATATTAATTAAATGTTTGCTAGAATTTAGCTTCAAGTCTTAACCATAAATCATTAGTTGATAATGCACTGAACTGCATCAGTGCCTGAGCATGTATTTTTCATTCCTCTGTAGAACAACAAGCATGATGGGATGGAGCCTCCAGCCAGGACTGTACCTCAGTTAGTATTTCAGATTATGTCCACCCAAGGACACAAAAAATGCCTTGTAGAAGAATTTCAATCTTCTGCTGCCATGTCAACAGAAAAACAAAAAATAGGGAGTTTTCACTGAGTTGGGATAGTTGATAATACAATTATATAAACCCCTTTATAGTGAGCAGAAGTATCCTGGTACAATTCTCAAACTCAAAATAAACAGGTCCGTTTTACAGAAAGATTTACTTTAAATCAAAACTAACAGAAAATGCTGTATGTCTCTGTTATTGATAAAGAGAACCTTATTTTCTTGTCTTTGTCTTATTTGTTGTATAATCTTTGTCATGGCTTTGTATTCTGATGTTGTAAAAATTCCAGGTGGGCTGTTTGAAGCACACCTCTTAGCTCCCTTAATCTGCTGTGATTACTGAAAACTTCTAGTGCATTGTCTTTGTGCATCCTTGCAGCAAATAGGAATCTAAAGATGGACCTGGCTCTAATCAGGGCTATAACCATGAAATTACTAAATTGGCGTGCTGAGAGGAGCTTTAGACTTATTAAGCTCATTTTGAAACAAAAGGACTTATCTAAGACTGCAGTGAAGAAAACCTTGAGTGTAATCCCTAAATACCAGCAAGTTTGTACCTTTTCACCTTGGGATCAGGACGTGGCTGACACTGATGCAGCCAGGGCAGCTCTGAGTTTTGTTAGCCCAGCCAGACACTCAGCTTTGTGCACAGCAGTTCTGCTTTCTCTTCTGTGTAACATTTTCAGTGTGAGAGGGACTTGGAGGAAGATTTCCTGTGACAGAAAAACCCTTCTAATTACCTTTTTCTTTAAGGAGATGCCAGATACCCATTGCTTGGCCAGCCCCTGCAATACAATCCATCTTTGTTACGTGGACAAGTAACAAGCCAACAGGTATTAAAAGAGAACAATCTCATGAAACAATGACAAAAAACCCAATCCAGGACTACCATTACAACCACCTAAAATAGGGGAATGTGTTATTGCACTTGGAGAGTAATTGAGTGGAAGGTGCTTGCTTTGCAATAACTTTTATTCAATGTCAGTGCTCCCCGTTGTTCTTGTTTGTTGTATTAAAAAGTGAGGAACATTTATCTGAACTATGGCTTTTGGTTTTAAGCAATTCACTAGCTAATTCAAAAGGGAACCCTTTGCTAAAACTATTTTCTTTTATTCAAGTAACCATTTCTAAAAAAAAAAAAATACATGCAATAATTTTTAAACAAAGAGCGGGTTTGTTCCTTTTGAGAAAAACCAACTCAAAATATTGGTGTTAGCAAAGTTGAACATTCTTTCCCTCTCTTTAATTTTTGGGACACACAAACCCCCTGCCTCTGCCTTGCTCAGTTCCACCCAATGCCAGCTAGAGGATATGATGGGTCAGGGGGATGTTCTTCCAAGATGATTTAAGGTGATTTTTTTCCCCCCATCATTGCCTCCCTTTCTTCTACAGTGAAGGATTGAATGTGCCTGACTGTAGGATTATCAAACTCAGTAACTGAAATTGAATGTGAAAATCTTCTCTGTCCCATGGTAGTGCAGGTTATTTTCCAGACATTGCTCTGCTCTGCTTGTCACTGAGCTGACTAGGAATTTTAAGATACTGATGGATTGTCATTGAAGCACTCTCTTTATGTCAATCCTTCCAGTGTCAGCCTGGAAACAGACATGGAAACAGGGGAAAGAAACCAGCAAAGAAGGCTGCTTCAGCAGATCTTGGTGCAGGAGAACCAGGTATAGAATTGCTGACTGACACAGTCCTCCAGAAAAATGAATTATGGTGATGGGCTGGTGATGGGCTTTCGTATGTACAAGAAAAGCACAGGTGGGAAGGGCCAGAGCAAAGAGAAATTTGACATGGCAAACATTGGAAACATAAGGATGGAGAGGAAGACATGGAGAGATGGGAAAAGGGAAGTTAAATGGGAAAAGTGTAGTTTTGAAGGCTGGAGAAAAGACCAGAGAAGTTCAGGATTGGAGAATACTAAAAGAAAGAGCAGATATATCAGTTTAGTGGTCCTATGACATTGTTACTTTAAATATTAATTATAGACACCCCTGCTTCCTTTTACTGGCCTGACAAGTGAAAACAGACAAAAACCACAAATTAGTTTGTGCTCTTTGGTTCGGTTTTTTTTAGTGTTTCCTGTTTTAGTATATTTAAGCACATGGGTGTGGGAGACATACTAGGAGGTCTACAATTTAGCTCATTGGAATTGGTAAAGATGTCATCCAAAGAAAATCTGATGGCATCTATCTTAATACCTTTACTGAGAATTTTTGCTGCCTACTGTCAACTCTTCACAGAAAGTTACAGAATAATCAGTTCTACTAACAATTTAGTGGAAAGGGGGTTTTTTTAGGTAAGACAGACTAGTTTTTTGGCATGGTGATGTGTGAAGCATTACCAGGCAAGGCCAGTGAGATGCTATAGTGAGTTCTGAAATCTGCTGCAAAAGACATTGTTGATGATTTTATTATTTTCCCCTCTTTGTTCTGAGGACCCTCTTTGTATTCCCAGCTTTCATTTGCACACTTGTACAAGTAAGCAAATTGTATTTGTAAGCAGCACTAAATGTGAGACCAAAGGCTCTCTAGAATATCAGGAAGGCAAATCTGTGGATTTGGTATCAGCCAGCTGGAGATACAAGGATGAAATAAGTAATTTTCATTTAGGATGCTGTGTCATTAAGTGCAATAACCGATTTAGACTCATTGTTTTTCTTCTTTCAGTTGTGGGGAAAGTTCTAGAAATTACTGAGCTGCCAGAAGGCATAACTCGTACGGAAGCAGAGAAACTCTTTGGAGAACTGTTGAAGGTGGGTGCCAAGATCCGGTGGCTGAGGGACTCGCAGTGCCTGCAGGCGCAGCAGCAGCGGCGCCTCTGCGGCGACGGCAGCGCCGGGGACTTGGCGTCCACCTACACGGTGCTGGCCACCTTCCCCAGCATGGCGGCCGCGCAGAGCGCGCTCAAGAGACAGAGCGGCAGCAAGTTCCGCCTGCGGAGCAGCAAGAAGCACTACGACTGCCACGTGCTGGAGAGGGCCAGCTCGCAGTAGCGCCGACGCCGCTGCACACGCGGCCCTCGCTCCTCCCGTGTCCTCCCCAAACTCCATTGGTTTGATGTCATGGGGTTTCTGTTCTCTTCACACAGACTCCTGGGATGTTTTGTCACATGACCTTTGCCATTGAAGAATAAATAACCCAGTGAATCCAGCAAGATGAAGAAAAAAATTTACAGAGTTACTCCCAGACAATAGCAAGGAATCATCTTTGCGACAGGCAGCTTTCTGCAAGGAATGCTGCTGAAATGCCCCCTACTTTTATAGTAGTTTTGTTTTATATTTTTGAAATCTTGTATCAGATCCAAAGTTCTATTGTACAGCAGATGTTCATAAAAATCCATATGCAGATTTGTATTTTATAATCCCTTTTCACAGCCAGCACACAGCAGTCCATTCCAAGGCAGGAACCTGAGGATTGGTGGAGGGGAAAAGAGAACCATTCTCAAGGAATTCTACTCATTTTCTAGCAAACTACCCAAGATCTTCCAGTTAACCTGTTCTTTGCCCCTTGTGTGTTTTTTCTTTTTTCCTCTTTTCTTCCTTCTTTTTCTGTTTTTTCTTTAAGAAAAAAAGAATATCATTTTAGTAACTAACTCCTTAGGTGGTCCTTGTCTTTTGCAACATATTCAAACAATGTCAAAAGAAATTACAAGTTTGTACCCTTGAAGAATTTGCTTCTGATCCAGCAAGTTTAATAATTACTAGAAGGGGATTATGAATAGGTTACAAAGAATGTTCACTGAATCACATTTTAATATTTCTTTTTAACAAAAGTGTGAAGAAACTTTATGTATCTTCACACAAGTGACAAAATGTTTGCACTTTAATTGTGTTCCCACCAGTATGGGTCTCTTTCTCTTCCTTTTCACGCTAAGATAATTGTGTTTGGTAAGTGCTGGAAACCTTTTTAATAGTTTAAGTTTTCATCATTTGCAGATGCTCACTGGACATTAAGATTCATTGCACATAAATGAAACAAAACTTTTTTCAACTTGTGTAATTTGCAAGTCTGTACAATGTGTGCTGATGCAAGCCTTTTTCAGTTCAAAAGAATAAATGTTTACAAACACAAACTTTTTCAGTGCACTTGTTTAAGCTTCTAGGAGTCTTCTGAAACCTGGATGAAGTCATATTAATGGCTGGAATCCTTTCAAATGGGAGAAAATAACTTATTAGAACCTCTTAAAAACCACCTGCTGCTCCTCCTCTGGCATTTATGTTATCCAGCCCTTCATAATATTTAAGTGTTTTCTCTGTATAAGTGAAAAAGAGAAAATAATCAGATGCTGTAAGGGACTGCTCCTGATTTTATATTTTTGGCTCAGGAACTTATTTGCTGTTTAGATAAGTAACTACTTGGTCACTTCTTAAGGCTATCATTTGTGCATTTGTGACTTCTGAAACAGGAAACTCAAGGTAAACTTTGTGTTTAAAAACATTTTACGGGGGGTAAAGGTGAAGAATTAAGGTGCCTAAATCATCATTCATTGTTTACACAAATTATTCTATCCCTGAACACCCAAACAGTGATGAAGTACTTGGAGGAAAACTTAGAAAACTGATCTGTCTGGGAATAATGTAGCCTAATAAATTAGTTTTATGGGACTTGATTTTGTGAAATGCCATAGTAACAGGTATTTACTAAATGTCAACTTAGATGCTTCCCTAAAACAAAGGGGAGGATGTTCACCTTCAAGTCCCTAGATAAAAGACAAATTACCATTCCAGCCTGCTTTTCTGAAAGGATGGTACTTGGAGTGGAAGTTGTGCTTGGCTGAGGTTGCATTTCTTGCTGCTGCAGTTCACTGCACCCAAAGCCCCAGTGTATCACTGACCTCCTGCTCTGCACAGCACAGCCAGCCTGACTGTCACTGCCTGCATTCTGCCACTGCCTCTGCTGACTGCCGTGCTGCTTTAGGATTGTGGTTTAATCCTGCAAAAGCAGCTAAGAGGTTAAAGGGCTGTAGGGACAGGTGTCTCAGCCCAGCAAGGCAGCTGCCTCCCATCATTAACTCATTCCACAACAAGATTCTTCCAAGAGGTAGAAGGGCAGGCAGCAGCTGAGAGCTTCCATCTATTCTGAATGCCCCCAGCACTAGATTTGCATCAAATCAAACCCTTTCCAGAGGATGTTGCATGGCTTGCTGCATTTCCCAAACTGTCCTAATAAACAAAGAAAAGGTGATGTGAGGTAAGCATGGAGAATGCAGCCCAAACAACAGGAAGGGAGGGATACACTGGTTAGGAATAAGGCACAGAAAATACTTAATTTTTATCAAAGAAGTTCTAAACTTGAATGCAAATTGCCCTAGGATAAAAAAATGAAAACATATAAGAAGCCAGTTGTATTCTAATCCAGAAATGTTGCATGGCTTGCTGCATTTCCCAAACTGTCCTAATAAACAAAGAAAAGGTGATGTGAGGTAAGCATGGAGAATGCAGCCCAAACAACAGGAAGGGAGGGATACACTGGTTAGGAACAAGGCACAGAAAATACTTAATTTTTATCAAAGAAGTTATAAACTTGAATGCAAGTTGCCCTAGGATAAAAAATTAAAACATGTAAGAAGCCAGTTGTATTCTAATCCAGAAACGTTGCATGGCTTGCTGCATTTCATGAACTGTCCTCCTAATAAACAGAGAAGAAAAGGTAATGTGAGGTAAGCATGGAGAATGTAGCCCAAACAACAGGAAGGGAGGGATACACTGGTTAGGAACAAGGCACAGAAAATACTTAATTTTTATCAAAGAAGTTCTAAACTTGAATGCAAATTGCCCTAGGATAAAAAAATGAAAACATATAAGAAGCCAGTTGTATTCTAATCCAGAAACTGACCCTTTCAGTTAGGTCTGCCCTCCTTTCTGAGTATGTTTCACTCTGTTAAACAGGGATGGTTATGTTATTATTTATGTGTCACTATGAGCCACAGGTACAATTCACAGGACTTTTTGGCACTGCCAGAGGCTTCTGATGTCCACAGTGGGCAAAGTATTAAATTATTTCCACTTCACAGTTGTGTTTATTCCTGGGTTTGTGCTATTTCATACTTTCTCTAGTAAGCAAACAGGATGCAAACTCATCTAACCAAGACACTTTATACCTTCCTGGCCTTTGTACCCTTCTGCCCCTTTTGGTTCCTTAAACCACATAAGCCCAGGCACTATGTGCAAAACCCCTGGAACTGCATTAGTTCCATGGATTTGGATCATGGTCTAGAAAGCAAATAAAAGCACTTTATGCATGTAATAGATGCATGTAAAATGCATTCTTATGTTCTAAACAAATCTTTTAGTGCTCCAGTGCATTTGAGCTTCCTCTCATTTACCATTAAAGCTATTTTTAAAGCAAATAGTAGCAAAAAGAATTAAGTGGGGACTTCCATTGCAACAATAAGTTTTGTTTTACTGAGAGCATGTCTTAACTTTTAAAACTAAGGAAAAGCACTGAAAGAATAAGCAGAAAAGCTGAACAAATGCAGCCATTACCTACTCCACTAAAAGCTACTACTTTGTGATTTCAGTTTTTAATTAACACATTTATATTGTAAAATTCCTCCCTGAATTTCCCTGTGAATACTTCATATAATTTCTGATATTACAGTCAAAAAAGATAATTAAAACTTAAGAATATAAATTTAAGCCCCATACTTTGAGGACTCAAAGCTGGAATTGGGTGGCTCCTTCCAGCACACCCCAAAACATCCTCACAGCCCACATGTGCCTGCCAGGCTGTGGCTGCTGTATTTTGGTAAGGCAGGGAACAAGCATCCTGCATCTTCCCTGGCATTCCTCCCTGAGCAAACGTCACCTGTTCTAATATGAAATGTTTTTCTTTCACTCACATATGCTGAGAAAAATGGCATGAAAAGGAGCAGGGTGTCTATGAAGGCAGAAACTGTGAGCTGTGGTGCACACAGGCTGTAGTGCTCGGGTGTCTCCACCTGCAACCACCCCCAGCCCTTCTGTAGGACATGTGATGTGTGAAGATCCAGGTGGTACAGGGCAGCTGTTTGCAGATGGGCTTTTATCAAAGCACCAGAAGGACTGTGTAGCTCAATGAATGCAAAAAGGTGCCTGGGTACACAACACGCCTTTCCCAGGGAGTTTTTACCTATTTCCTCTCTCCTTGCAAGCCAGTTCCCTCTCAAGGTGGAATGAATAGTTGTATTCTCATCCTATGACACTCATTTGTGCCTTACAACTTCACACTTGACTTGTTTGTTGTTTTCAGTTAACCTTGTGCTAGCTTGGATGCCTGGAAGGGAGTCAAAATTACGACTTTTTATAAATACTGTTTAGCTCCATGATATATTTTTTCCACATAAAATTGGTGCAGGCTCCAAGTTCCTGTGTTCAGCCCTGAAGCAGAGAATGTTTAGATGAAGCTTTGGAGAAAACTGACCAAAACATTTTTAAGTAACAGGTCATGAAAAATTATTGTAGCTGGAATTTTTATATATTTCTAACTATGAAAGGAATTATTTCAATCCCTTCAATCTTTCTACAGCTTCGTTTTCATGAAGGTTCATGCACTGCCTCTTCTCAATGTCCTACTCCTATTCACATTTAAAACATTTTTTTGGCTATTTATGTCAGTAAGTATAAAATTAAAATGCACAATGTTAATGTGACTTCATTTTGGAAGCTTCATTTCTTGGGTGTAGACCAGAACCCTTAAAAGGACCTGATTTCCAGGGCAATCTGAGAATTAAGCCCCTGTGAGTTCTCTTATTCTGGAACCTAAGAGCAAAGTCTCCATCCACATCCAAAACCTTCAGTGGAAATTAAGTTGCCTCTTGGATTACTTGAAAATGTGTGCAATTATGTTCTTACCATGACGTGTATGAGCCTCCTCTTACTTCAGTGTCTGCCCTGTGTCCTCAGACTCACAGGGCCAGGGTTTGGCCCTGACTGTTCAGCATCCCTCACTACAGGGTTTAGTTTTTATCCTGCTTGCAGCTACGTGACGTTCCGCGCTGTCTGTCAAAATCTGTTCAAAGTGGAACCTGCTGAAGACATGATTAAGCATTAAAACTTGGTCCAGGACACAAACACTTCAGTGTTTTTTGCTGCTATTTTTTTCATTTTCCAGTCTCACTGGTCAAGCTCATGCACTGAGTCATTAAAAGGGATGCTTGCAGCTGTAATGGACTGTGCCTGCACTTGGGAAGAGAATCCAGAATGTCAGATGAGCCTGGTGCTGTAAACCAAAGAGCTGTAGAGGACAACCTGTGTGTCACTGGCAGCTGTATGCTTTTAACACTGGAATAAGTTATAAAAATAAACTGTGTTGCTGTGGATAATGCTTAACAGTGAGGTTTATTCTTAATTGAGCTCCCGTGTCCCAGTTAAGTGGGAATCTGAACTAGCTGGGAGTGCTGACAGCAGTGGGATGTCTCAGACCAGGTGAGCACAGGTGGAAGGGACTGGGATGGACTGGCCCCAGCACCAAGGGGTCAGTTACACTTCATCTCCCAAAATTACCTGGCAGCTTAAAAAGAACATTCACAAGCAATATTGCACATCATACTTCAATTGCAGTGGCCTCAGTTTGAACTTCAGAGGGAGAAGCTGGCATTCTGCTTTTTTCTCATATCCCAACTTTTGCCCTAGTTTTAGGGTTAATTAGCTTTGCCCTTTTGGTTTTCCAATGTAGTTAATGAGAAACATCATTATTAAGTGTGCTCTGATAGTCTACCACACTGATTTATACAATCTGGGAAATACACCAGACCTTGACTCCACAGTTGCTCAAATTTGCTGACTTTTTACTTGGCTTAAACTGATAACTTTGATTTGTTAATTAACTGCTGATTTAGGGTGAAGCAACAGTGCAATTTAAAACAGGAATTCCCTAATAAAGACATTTTCCATTTTGATCCAGATGGATGTGTTCTAGTTTTGGGGAGAAAAAAATACTCTCTTAGAATGCAAATTACTGCCTTGCATTGTATCCCATGCCAGTAACTGAAAACACGTAAGACACCTCCCTAAAAGAACTGAATCCCAGGTAATGCTCCAGCTGTCAAACTATTTTTTCTCAATAAAATTTTCTACTTACTAGTTAGTTATC